ATAAAGCAACAAGATTTGCTTTGTTAATGAGTTTATAGAGTCTAGTTTTCAAAAAACTAAGAATCAATGGCATTAGAGTTGGGACATGGTAGGAGTGTTGATTTTTGTGATTAGGGTCCATTGCCTTTGAATTCAAGCAGCTAAGCAAAGGCACAACTTTGGAGGACATGATCATGAGGATTAAGGCAATTTAAGATCTCAATATTTAGAAGAAGGTTCGACTTGAAGTTAAGATTCTATTGAGTTTTTTTTATTCAAGGACAATCTATAACCAAGTTGTAGTGCTCTAATTGGTAGAAGGATGTTTGTAGCCTTGTCAAAGTAAATCATCAACTTTAAGGGGCAATATTAGATGCTTACAATTAAATTTAATAGTAGAATTTGGAAAGTAAATGAATCTTCAAGTGTTCTTTTTAACATGACTAGTTGAGTTTAATTTGGAACTCAATATCAGCCATGGTATGTATTCTACAGATGAAATATTTTGATGATATCTATTGCATAATTAGATGGATGTAGATTGGATGGATGTATAAATCTTAATTAATTATAATTTAATTTTGACTATAATACATTAATATATATTATATAATATATTAATTAAACAAGACTATTTAATCAATACTTGTTTGTATAATTGTATCCTACAACATCCAATTATATGCATTTCATTTCTTTCACAAAAATTATCAAAATAAATTGAAATAAACAATATTGTATACTTTAAATTATTTTTAAATCTACAATATATTACCTATAAGTATTTCATAGATTAAAAAAATAATAATATTTTGACCTAAGCATTTACTAAATTTATCCATACATCTTAACCATCATCAAAAAATTATCCAATGTCAAATCCAAATTGGTTCAAAACCAATAAAAAAAAATGGTTAGATCTGCAACCAATTAGGATGGGTGGGATAATTTAGTAAATGCCTAGGTTAGTTTAGCAATTCTTTTAAAATAACAGAATGTGTAGAAAAGTGAATTAAATAAATTATCTAAAATTGCATGTAAAACCAAAAAATATACATGAATTTTTAAAGAATATTTTAAATCTTAACATATATATTAAAAATAAATTTAAATTTAAAAAATCTAACATATATAACAAAGAAGTCATTAATAAAAGGAAGAATGCAGCCCAACATTAAATATCGATTTCATATTTTGAATCTTCCAACTGCAACACATGGAAATTATATATTTTTTTCATTTTCTTAAAAAGGTTGAGCGATGCTTCAACAAATCCAAAAGATTTTATTTTATATTACTTTCATTTCATAAACATTCATTGATTGTTTTGCCATAATGATATACGGAAATTTTTAGCATTTATGTACAAAGAGACAATAAAGATGTGGCTTCCATTAAAATCCATCCACTCTCAACAATGAATGACAATGAAATCTTGTTCTTTTTGATATAAAGTTTGATATTGAGGCCTAACTTTCCTTTTTTGTTGTTTATGTTCTTATGTTATTGTCTATTTTGGATATGGGCTTATGTTCATTTAAGGGTTGGATTTTGAGGGGTTGAGAGCAAGTTGATAGAATTGGTTATATTTCAAGAGAGTCTTTGTTAATAAATGTTTTTGGGAATGGAATCACTTTTTTCTGCATTCAGCTGAAATTTTGTAAAGATTTGGAATTGAGATTCGGAAAATAATAATAGTAATAAACGAAAAACAAAAAAAACAAAACAAAAAAAAAAAAGCAAAACAAATGTTTGAAAGTAAAATTAAATTTATACTTCGTCTTAAGATTTTCTTTTTTCTTTTTTTGATAAATATTTTTCCTTTTTACAGTTTGCTAGTTCTCTGTTAAAGAAATTAAATAGAAAAATTACAGTGTTTTTAACAAAAACATTACTTTTTTTTGAAAATATTGTTGCTTATGTGAAATTATACTTTCTCCTTACATAGCCAAAATTCAACATATATTTTATTACACTTTATGTACATTTAGCAAGGCAATCTTTTTTTTACAAATGGTAATACTAAAATTAACCATACTGTGGAAATTACAATTACCGTGAAATTACATGAAGTTTCACATGTTTTGATTTCATAGGCTTGAAAGCATTCTAAAATGCATACTTAAAAGTCCCACCCAATTGAACACAAGATTCGAATTAGTGTTTTTTAAACGTTAAATTCGTTGGACAATTTAGAGAGTTTATTTTAATTCTTCTACAATTATGGGTACAATTCTTTATAATTTCCCCAAAACTATAAACTCAAAAGCATTCAAAATCATAATTTGTGTATATATATTACAAATGTTTTTTCAAAATATTATTAGATTGATATTCACATCTTCAACAATGCAATTTCTAATTCGAAATTTCATATTACATATATTTGGCCGTCAATTGAATGTTTGAAGTAAACTTAAACGTGCACAACATTTCATGCAACTTTGCCAACAACTTACTTATACTATCATAGTTTCTTTTATTGTTTAATTATATTAAACTACGCTTCATTGCAAGCCATTTTTAAAGAGACAAGAAGGTCAACTTTGATCTTTGCTATTGTACATTTTGTTTTGGGGTAAAAGAAACCATCCTAATTATGTGAATAAGATGATTAGCAGTACAAATATCCAGTTGTATATGCCTCTATATATAGACAGTTATATATATATATATAAATAGACTGGTGGCATGATTTTATCGGCAATGCATGCAAAAGTAATAAATAAAACCCAAGTGGATGCTAATATTTAATACCCAAGTGGCTTCACAGTATACTACCCTAAAGCTAGACTTCACAAAAGTCAGATTGGTGAAAATCAAGATAAAATATTTCTATATATATATATGTATTTTTGCTTTAAATTAAGAAGAGACCCACTAGGCCCATAAGTGTGGAAAATACTACAAGGCGCTCTTATTTAATTTATTAAAGATAGACAACCAAGTCCTTTTCTCCCATTTTATATTTTTTGTTTGCATTGACCAAAGAATCTCATTGTATTCTTACATTTCTTTATTATATTTTCATCAATTGTTGTGGAGACCCATCACCACAAATCAAGCAGAAGATGATGCATGGATTCCAACAAGCTCAATAACCTTGCTCCTCCCAATGGCAAGAGGAATTAGGGTTTTGTGGATTCCATGCCCTTTGCCTTGCTTGGAAATAGACTATGTCCCCCATATCCTTTGTGACCCTTGAGAATATATAAGAGCAACATAAATGTGTGAATATATATATATATATATATATATCAATTAGTTTTTGTACTTAGATTCCATTCCAAGTGTAAGTTTAAAAGTAGAAGGGGTTAAATAATGTATACATTCCTTGATACTGCAATCAGGCAATTTTTTTTGTTCTAGACAAGTCCTGAGGTTTTGAGTCTTAAAGTAGACACTCTGTGTCAATTCTTTTGGTGCACATAACTGAATCCTGTAAAACCATCTTTCATTCATGTCTATCTTGCTATTTCTACTGTTAATAAAAACCAATAAAATATGATAAAATAATTTTTATTCAAATTGTGTTTAAAGAAAAATAAAAATATACATATTCTCAGAAGAGTATGGTAAACACCTACATAACCAGATCATACACATATTTCCCCTTTGAAACAATAAATTAGTATTCAAATCATGAAAGGTACATGTTTTAATATGTCCTTGTTTTGGCCAAAAATACTCAATTGAGAGTGTACAAATAGCCGTTAAGTGAAAAGGAAGGAAAGAAGCCATTGTCCGGAATTGAAAACGAGGAGTCGCACTTTTATCATTTTGTGCTATTTTTGGTTTCATGTGGGATTAGGGTTTGATCGTCTAGCAAGTCCTTTTATTTGATTAGGATCACACTTGTCATGCCCCCACCATCTGGTCACAGATAATCTGTGCTTGCAAGTATCATTTGGCCTTGACATGTGTTTGCTGTACTGCCCCATTCCAAATCCCACTCCCAAAAAAAAAGATTAAAATTAATGAAAACAATTCTAAAAATATTCTAGTGTTCATAAAAGAACATTCCATGTCATTGTATAAATCAACGTATATTTTTATGGACATGGTTTGGTGAATACTTTTTTCTTCTATCTTCAGATATATCACAACAAATCTTGCAAACTTTTGGAATATAATATTGTGTTCATATGTGTGTGTGTATATATATATATACATATATGACTAGTTGACCCACAATAGGAAGTTAAGACCTAACAAAATAAAAGATGTCAAGAAGACCAAAAATCAACAAAAACTCTACAATATGACCAAACAACATTAACCAAGCTTTCTGTAGTAGGATTAAAATAAATAAATAACATAACACAAAAATTACACATCTCTTCAATGCATCTTATTTCTACATATCAACTGGACATCACTCGAAAAGCCATTCAGAGAATCTGCTCAACAGTAAATCAAAAGGAGAGCAGTAATTTTACATCTCTAGCAATGCCACTATAAATGTTAAACACGCAAATCAGCATATACATTAACGTCTCCTTGCTTCAATGGTCGTTGTCATCGCGACCAGAACGACTCAAGTATTATATTTCTATGAAGGCGGCGAAGAGGGATCGAACCCCACAGCGGCGGCCGCCGCGAGGACACGACGCCCAGGGGACCCACGAAGCGATGGAAGAGGGAAGAGAAAATGGAATTTTGAAGGCGTACGCGATTTGGTGTTTGCAAAGGAGATTCGCTGTTGCTCGCGGGGATTCGGACCGCAGACAAGCTCACATGCACACACCATCGATGTTAGCCCATCTCTCGCAACTGACTGCCATACATCAGAACATCTGCCCTCTCACAAAGACCAACAATCAAACAAGCAAACAATCCAACAAAAAACCACCCACCCCCCTCTACAATAGAGATGACAGATCTTTCAATAAATACACACATATTTATATAACAATTTCAATGCAACAACTGCTGCGGGGAGACTAAAATTAGGAATTCGGTGCACAACTGATCCTTCAGACAAGGGTGACGTTCATAACACGAGGTTGCTTCCAAATCGGAACGCGTCACAGCAACGATCTCACAGCGTCGGTCGACGCGGTGCGATGGCCAGCGATGAGCTTCAGGAAACGCAGCCCCTCTGCCAGCAGCAGCAGCAGCCGCAGCATTGAGATTCGTTGAGCGAAAATCGAAACGGAAGTAGCATTCCCGGAGGTGGTTTGCTAAAAATTAGTCACAAGAATGAATGAAATCGCAACGGGAAGTGGCGCTAGCGCCAGCGCAAGCAGGAGCGCAGGAGAGAGAGAGAACGAGAGAGAGAGAGAGGTGGGGGCCGTGGTCGTCAAGGGCGCCGTGGTCGTCGTCTGTTTCCGGGCGCCGTTTCCCGGTCTGTAGTGTACCTGCAGGCTGCGAGCACTCCCCGTCCCTCCGTCCTTCATCATGGTTGCCATCGCCCGCTTTAGATAAGAAGCCCCCAACCATCCATCCCCACCCAGCATAATGGATTTCGCCCTCTCGCGGCGGACTCTTCTCCCTCTTCTCCCCGTGCACTCATCGCTCATGTCCTCCTCTTCGCCTTTGAACCTTCATTATTTATGAAGAAGGAGGCAGGGTTTGAGGGGTTTGACGCCTTTGACGCGCGTGGCGCGAGCGTTTTGAGTAACCCAGAGAAGTTGTGTATGGGATTTCGTATGTGAGAGAGAGAGAGAGAGAGAGAGAGAGAGAGAGAAGTTGAGATGGGTATGGGGTTATGCACAGGACGAGGGATTGCGATTGTTGGCGTAGGTGATATTGGGTTGTGACGTGGGTGGGGTAGGGGAGTTGGCAGAGTGAGTGAGAGACGGAGAGAAAGAAAAAACGGAGAGCGGTTGTGGGTGAATCGTCAGCCGGAGCTTGCACTAGCGGCGATCCAACAGCTGGTTCCATCCATGAGTTTCTGCTCCTTTGACGGTTTATCGGGGAGCTATGGATCCTGTCCTCAATGGCGCCGCCTCTTCTCCCTCCGAAGACGACGAGTGGGGTTAGACTTCCAGCCTTTTTTGCGTTTCATTTTGTCTCTCTTTGGCGGTGCTGGTGAATGTGTGAGGGCTTTGCTGTTTGCTGTGGGGGTTTCCAGTATTATTATTATTATTATTATTTCTTCTTTCTGTTCCCCTGGTTGTAACCCTTGTCATGGTGATGAATCCGCCTTGTTCCTGATCAATTCGCAGTTTTTATAGATGTTGGATGATGGTTGAATTCCAATTCTCCCCTTTGCAATCCAGCTCTTTGTTTGTGCATCGATGTTCAATGCGTGAAAGTGCCGCTTGACCTGCCGATCAAGAAGTCACAGCTTGCTCGACTAGGGATCAACCGAGATCGCCCAGAAAACAAACGTCACATGGTATTGTTTTAGTATTGGAATCATCTTCGTACTTAACGATCCTTTACAGATGAGTAGTACTCCTGCATATATTGACCACCTTCTGTCCTGAGATTTTGATTCGTATCGAGTTCATTTTTTGAACAGTGTTCCCGTTAATCCAAACGAAGCATCGTAGTACTGATGTTCCGGTTGTGTATTGGAAGCGCTCGTGCGAGAACCATCGATCGAAACAGAGCCCGTAACTTTTGAAACTTATGGTCCAGTGTATTCTTTGTAGAGGTTTTCAAATTACAATGGGCTAGTAGCTAGGATGCTTAATTCATTGGTAGAGGGAAAATGTCTGCATTCAAGTGCAGGACTTGTAGAAGCGGACGTTAGACGCTGGTGTGGTCTACAGCAAGGTTGGATGTCCTATTGGAGTTCTACGTTACCTTCATGGGGTTTATTTTTCTTTTTTTCCTGCTATCGTTGATGTCTTTACTGCGATTGATCTCTCTCAATAGAGCTGCTTCTCCACTTATTAGACATTCCCGCCATAGCTTTTGTCTTCCCATGTCGCCCGGTGACAGGATTACGAGTAGGTTCTGAAATGTTATAACATGCTCTGGCCCTACTCTTCGAATATCTGCACACGATGCGCTGATGGCTTTGTTTCGGCACTCGGCTCAGTGATTTTTCGGGTTTTGGAAGATGCTGTTGTGCACGTGTCTAGGCTGAATCATTCTGTTTCGGCCGGTCAGTTTCACCGAATCTGCACGGTGGTGATTGTTGCTGATGTTGGTGTCCATGTGGATTACCGATTTAGGCCACTCACATTGTTTGATTGCCTGCGATTAGGGGAAGAAACGGAATATTTGGAATAGGCCCGCTAAGGTTGGGTTGAGTCTGAAATGTGAGGTTTCCCGCGCGAGGTAGCACTTCACGTACTTGAATGAATGGGTTTTTCTTGGTTTTACAATGCGTTGCATGCCATGTTACAACCCAGTAACTGCGGGAAGCTTGCTGACTGGCTGTTTCTTTTTCTCTGGAAACAGCATGATCAGCAGGTTCTTCTTATCATTCAAAAGAGAATGAATTCCCCCATGTGCTCCGGATTTGAAAACAGGACAAGACAATTGTCATTGACTCACGTGTGTCATGTTACTGAGAGTAATGCTTCTTGTTGAATGACTTGTTAGTTCTTTTCCTTTGTCTTTTCATTAAAATAATATTTTTCGGTCAGTTCTGACGCTGATGTGGTGATTGTCCCGATTTGTGCAGATGCTGACGGATTTGAGATTCCAAGTTTAGATGTAGGGCGGCCAATAGTGGCCAATCGGAAGGAACGTACTCAATCTCACGATACATTTCGACCTTCCTATCAGAGGGTAAAGTAGCATGTTGTTTCGCCCTGTCCGTACGACCTTCCAATTTGACATGTTTTGATATTCACGCTCTTGAGCTTTGAGCGGATAGAAGATAATCATGTTGTGGGATGATCAAATTTGATGAAGTCATTCAAACACTAAATCTTTAATGATTGTAAACTAAACGTAGTCGCTCTTAGAAGGACGAATGCTTGGTGCTGAACACGGTTTTCCTGGACTTCAGTTTTTGTGTGAGGCTGGTTGGTAATTCCCAACCTCAGCCAGTCCCATGTACTTTCCTCCCTGGTCACACAACTCTGGGGTCATGATAGTGGCGGGGATTTTACAGGTTAAGCACTAGTCAAGAAACAGTATCCAGAAGGCTTCACTTCCCTCACCTTCGGGAAACGATGCGTTCCTTCTGTGTGCAAGTCCCTTATTATTCAGGTTTTAGACCAGTTTTTGTTCTTGTGGTCCATTTCTTCTCGAAAATATGTGAGGAGCATTCGTACTGAGAGAGGCTCAGGCGTGATATAATCCTCACTGGAGGTTTGCTATGAGCCTCAGTGAAGGTTATAATGGGAATCAGTTGTAGACTTTAACGAGAGTACCGCTTGGGTGTAATATTACGTCTCGTCTTTTACCGTAATTTATGTTTATAGTTTAATTTTTTGTAATTCACTAGTATTCTCATTGCCATTCCCTACACAATATTTTCTTACAGAGATTCCATTGAATGACTCCCTTGTAGAACTTTCTTCGATTACATTCTTTCTTTTTTTTTCTTTTTTTTTTTTTTTTTTTTCTTTTTTTTTTTTTTTTCTTTTTTTACTGGGTCCGAACTGCACAACTAAGACATTATATCTTTACAGTGTATATGTTGAAGGTTATGCTTACATATCTTTCTGTAGATGAAGGATTCTCGCTCTTTGGCTTTCTCAAGTTTGACAGTTGCGAAAGTCCTCCTTTTACCTCGTTTACCTTTCATGTACTGAGATATTCCGCTCTCTGAAGCTCTTGTTTGTTACTATCGTGCAGTCTGCGGCAGGCACCGAACATATTTACTTGGGACCCCACGGTGCACCTCCACAGCACGGCCGTGGTGGTCAGGAAACTTCGACGCCCAACCGAAAGCAACGCCTGAAACAGAAGCTGAAGGATGCGGAAAGGAAAACATCTATCGCTTCGCGCGAGAACAAAGTGGAAGTTCTTCAAGATTTGATGGGCACGAAGCCAGCGGCTGTACCCACTGCCCGGGGAGCGGAGTCTGAATGGCTTGACCCATACTGCCACGAATCTCAATTTGAGCGCCCAGTGAATCGAGTGTGAGGCTGTTTCAAATGCGAATATGGTAATGCTATTACTTAGCTAGGTTGAACGGGCAGTGCCGTTCGAGGATAGAAACAGTGTGAAAGTGTGGTGTAGATAATCTACCATCAGGCTGAAAGTAAAAAAGCACTTTAATTGGGACTTGATTTGAAGAGGACCTAAATTTCGCGCAGGGAGAGACAATTTTGTTTTGAGCTGCAGCCCCCAGCTACGACGCCTCACCTCCTGCTCCGTGTGGTTAGAGTCTCTTGCAGTTTTGCTTAAAGCACCAACGAGCAGAACATGTTACTTTACGTTAAATCGAAGAAGAAAAAAGAGGATTTCACAGTACCATGCCTCAGATGTTGCACACGCACTGTTCAGTACCCTTTTGCCTGCCACAGCTCTTTCTTTAGACAGTAGTCCGTGTGCTTTCCGAACCTGGTGGAAGATACTCAAAACTCCGAGGTGAAAGTTATCCCATCTCTCTTTACACAATTACTGCCAAACTGGTCAGATTGCACACATGACAGCAAGCTGGCGCACAATGCAGTCTGTTCTTGTGTCAAGCTATGAAACAGTTACCCACATGTTGCAGGAACCGCGACTTGTGCCTACGCCACATCTTTTACTCACATACACCCACCCAGACAGTCAAATTCTGCTTCGACTAGTGGGTGTGAAAGGCGGTTGGGGCACCGCATCAGGTCGAGAGTGTGATAGAAACTAAATGCATAAGCGACTTTGGTCAATTCTCTTGGGCAATGCACAAGCAGGCGCCATGCAGATTCAAGGCGTGACAGCAATGCAAGCTCCGTTATCTGCAGTTCGAAGTGAGCTGCGCGTTCGAGGTAGCTGGCCCAGCTGGAAAGAGGAAGACAGTGTCCGATGCCCGCCATATCTGAGGCTCTGCGATAAGAGCCGAGCTGCAAGGCCCCCACAAAGACAGAAACAGTTATGGTGCATCAGCATGGGCGTGTGTAGGCGGCAGTGCCTTTTCTGCATTAATGCCCCCTGCGGCGCCCCCACCCACCTACTCCCTGCTCTGTTGCTGCTGCCTCCCAGCGTGCGCTCCTACTCCCCGTAAAACAAACCCTAAAATCACAAATGTCTGTTATGAGTCTTGCTTTCCACTGTGGTTTCCAAATGACTTGTCCCATTATGTGAATTTGCAGTAGAAAAAGTTCGAGTGGGTTCCAAAAAAAATGTTGGTTTTGAAGATTCTCCTTGGTACTCAATCAATGTTATTATAAACATTTGTTATAGTCGCTGGTTGATGGTGTTCAATTACTCTTTTGATAATGGGGATTGAGATGTAACTGGTGGTAGAATGATTTACAGTTTTTATCTTCTTAGAGAAGATGGTGTTGTAGTTTTATCTGATTGTTCCTGTCCTCTTAAGCAATCTGCATTGAAGTTCAAGTCATAAATTATTCTGTGAGCAAACGTAAATTGGAGTTGTAATCGTCTATATATATATATACTAATTATTATTATTTTTCCTGAGATGATGGCATATTTTGTGATTTTTTTTTATTAAAAAAGAGATAATTCTAACTTTCAGTTTATTACGATAAATCCAAAGTATAATTTAACACATGAAATTTTACTAACTATGTCAAAATTCATAACAATGAATCCTGTAGTGGTAAAGACATTACAATAGAACCATAGCTCTTTAAGATTGGTTACAAAGTGTTCTCCTTCCTCACCAACAATTTTAATTTTTTTTTTTTAATTGTCTTCCTTTGTGTTCCATATCATTTGATTCATGGCATTGAGAAATGGGTATGGCCCTTGAAAGAGCTACTTGGAGTATATTCCTTGAGTGTAGCTATTCCTCTTGTTGATGTTTATTCGTTGTGCATTTTCCACACGCTCTTTTTTTCCCTTTTCTTATTTTTCCATTTCTTGATATTATTATTACTATTTATTATTGTTATGGGGTGTTGATCCTATCTCCTCTACTACCTACTTATGCCCTAAATCCAATTGTCACCAAAAAAAAAATCAAAAAAAATCAATTAAAAGTAAGTAAAAATCAGGCATTTATGTATATGTATATGTATGTGTATAGTAATTAACTAATTAAATAAGAATACAAATTTTATTTATAAAAAACATTGTAACATGCTTGTAATTATATGAAGCATATACATTCTTCTATTTCCTTGTAATCTTTCTCAACGTTTTTACTAAGACAGTAAAATACAACTTATTTCATCAACCAAATATGTAAAAAAACAACAATGCTTTGCTACTTCTCAAGACTAACCTCCCATATGTATTATTTTTATTACATTATATATATATATATATATATATATATATTGTGGATTAGCAACTCCAGGTCTTAGCAATGATCAACAAAAGTCCCTTGAACCAGTCCCAGATAAGGTAACCGACCCTTGTTTTGGAAGACCTAAACCTTTTGCTTTTCATTTTACTTTGATCTCATCCCAGGACTTGGTAAAAAAAAATCCATTCAGAAAAGCCTACAAACCAATTGCTGAAAAGTAAAACTTAGGAAGGCAAATGGGAACTATTGTATTGTATTTTTGCACCGTAATTACCTTAATCATACTGTTTTTGTTTGACGTTTAAGCTGTTGAAAAAAAAAGTCACCCTTAAATTGCAAAACACCATATTTGAAAACTTATTTGGTTGGCCAAGTTAAAAACAAGAACACATGACCAGGCAAATCAAATAAAAATAAAAATAAAATAACAGACGCCATTTTTTATTATAATTATTAAAAACAAAAGGGAGGTATTAGAAATGTTGAGATTGTTTGAGAAATTTAATACTACTATTCTTATCTCTACATTCTTCAGGGTCAAAGTAGCAATTCTTTACTTGAGTGTCAGAGAATAATTATCGCAAGGAGTATAAGTGTGAATTGTGACATGGCTAATTGTGCATATACAAAACCTTTATATATATATATATATATATATATAAACATTTTATTGGCCACAATATACATCCAACTCTTCTATCAGCAAGAAACTTCAACAAACAAAACAAGGGAGTAGACAAAAATCATGAGGCCCTCATGGAAAGGAAACCCTAAAAAACAAGCTTCATGGGAGGAATCTAAATGCCATTCCAAAAGTCATGAACACAAAAAGCTTTGTGAAACGGGCAGGGCAGGGGCAGGGCAGGGGCAGGGGCAGGGGCAGGGCTTTGTTGTCTGCACTGGGGATGGGGGCTGTGTCCCCAGAAGGTGGTACAGGAAAGCATCAGCGCTGGGACTGGCTCTGTGACTTTGCTTAGCATAGCTTTGCAATGGGAACACGACAATTCCTCCTCCTCCTCTTCCTATGAACACTCAATCATATCTATATATGTATGTATGCTTAGACATACTGTATTTGTACATTGACTGTCCATACAAGCAATACCCTATTAATACATACTTGCTGATTGAGTGCAAAAGGAGGATCCTCTGAAGAGGAGGAGGAGGAGGAGGAAAAGGAGGAAAAGCGGGGCCCCCATCGTTTGGTCTCAGAAAAGCACAGCAAATCAACCAAGCATATAATATGGAACAACAACAACAGCAACAAGTAAAAGAAAGACAGAAAGAAGCAGAGGAAGAAGACCACTGTTTGCAAATACTACTACTACTGCTAGTAGTACTGCAAATGTTGTAGTGCTCTGGTGTTGTAGGGTGCCCAGCCCAGCCCAGGGTATCCACATGTTTTATAATCCCATGCATCCATTTTGGTGCCCCTGGGTCTTCTTCTTCTTCTTCGCCTGTCCTCATCCTCCGTTTCCTTTCCTTCCTTCAAGGTGGGGCTCACACTCTCACACACACACAACAAGTTATATATTGTGTATCTATCTTGCTGCTTCCCAGCTGGTGTTGATGGTAGGCCACACATATTCCGTGGGTCCATTGTTGTTGTTGTTGTTGTTGTTGTGGTGTGGTGGTGAGGTGAGGTGACTTGGTTCCATGCCCACCACCCTCTGCTCTCTACTTCACATATACCAGCGAGGGAGGATTCTGTGGATGAATGAAACTGGGTTTGGATGAATGAAGGTTGCTCCCTCCCACCACGGATGGGGTCACAAATTCCTTGTGTGCTGTGGACCTGGCTTCTTCTTCGCATTTCTGGAAACCAGGACAGGGAACACAATGAAAATAAGCTTTTTATTAAAATAATGAGATGGGATATAAGCACCTGTAAGGTATAAATTTAAATTCAAGTTCAAATAAAATAAATAAATAAAAATAAAAACCTTAAAAAGATGCCAGGGGAGGGAGCAACATCCAAGGCAGGTGGGGAGGTGTGTGTTTTCTATGCTCTCCAGCATTGTAGGTGGATTCTTCTTCAGGTCCAGTGGGTTTGTTTTGCGAGCCTTCTTCACTTACTCAGCACGGGACCTGCCATCCTAACAGTAAATAGTGTGGATGAATGATGCACAAGTTGAAGAAGATGACGTGGCAGTTCAAAGAGCAGTTTTATTGAAGTTTGGGTGGGGGTAGTAGTGTGAAAGGCCATTAACATATATTGTTCTGTTTAAAGAAAGAAGGCCAGAAGTTGCAACTCCCAAAAACTTATGATTAGGTGTGATCAAGAAGTCTCTCTTGGTTGGCTTTTACATTTGCAAAAAAATTAACACATAGATTTTGTGAAACCAGAAAATAAATAAAAGGGGGGGGGGGAGAGAGAGAGAGAGAGAGAGAGAGAGAAAAAAAAAAAAAAAAAGATGAAATGCACTTTATCCCTACGTGATATGAATAGAGTTTTCTTGTGCTAGGCCCTGTTTAATGGACGATTTTCACACAAAATCAACATAAAAAGAAAAAAAATGCCAAAAAGCGACTAATTTTTTTACACGAAAACTTTTTTTTTTTTTTTTTTTTTTCATTTCTATAATCTCATTGCAAAATTGTTCAAAATCAGGATATACTAAACAAATCGTTACATTCTAAGACTTCACTATATTCGAAGTGTCTGAAAGTAGAGATATACTTCCGAAGGACATCATTTTATTCACCGAGTGGGGGCACCTGCGGAAGATAGAGAACCACCACCACAACAACAACAATTCCCACTCGTCCCGAATTCTAGCAACAATCCATGCGGATTTTATACACACACTCACACACACACACACACAAACTGTGAGAGCACAGAATCCCTACACTATACAGTTCCAGAGAATCTGATCTCCCACTCTCACCGGTCGTGCCGCCTTCAGACCAAACTGACAGAGTTACTTACTAGAACATGCACGGGAAGGATGAAAACAAAAACTAACGGGAGACATATTAATGTGCAGAGAGGGATGGATGAATGAATACGTGGATGAAGGGGACGGGACGGATGAATGCGGTGAGGCTGGGTGTAGGCCGAAGGGGAAGCACACAGTGTTGGGGAAGAAGGGGGTCCTACAACCCCCCATTCGCACACAATAATAGGCGACAATCGTAACAACTTCCTTCCCCTGTCCAACCATACACACTCCCCCCCCCCATCCCACTACTTTCATCCGTATACATGGATAGATGTATGGATGGGTGACTACACCTAGGCAATAATTGCTGCACTCTTTACCCATCACCTCTTTTTCTTTCGAGAGGAGTAATTTCTTTCTTTTTTTGATCAGTTGTTTATTATTACTACTGTTATCTGTTTCTTTCGCCTGGGCCATCTTTTTCTCTTCTTTGTTGTGCTTTGTGCTCAGTCTACAGGCGGGTCCTTCTATGAGGCCACACTATTTCATCGTTGGGGGCCCTACCACCACCCTACCCTACTTCCGCCTCTACTAGGACCCATGGCCGAGGGCTATGGCGGTGATGGCTTCTCTTTCTCTCTTTCTCTTTCTCTGTGTCTATGTTCCCATCCTTAGGCACAAGAAAGAATGATGCCAGTAAAGAGATATGGCCTCATATTTTTGTCGTTGTGTTTATTTTATTTTATTTTCTTTATTTGTCAAAGGTACAGTCAGTCAGTCCACTAGTTTGCTGGCAGGCGGCCGCAAAGAATCTCTGCTCTATTCACACTGTCGTCGGAAATAAATATAAGTATGAATGAATGTATATATGGATGAACGGATGCATGGCGAATGAACGGTGCTCCCTTTGAAATGGTATTCACGCAGATGTGTTTATCTTATTTTACAAGTGAAAGTAAAATTCTATATGATTTTTTATTGGTTAATATTATTCAATAAAATACTATTCGAAATCAAGAGTTTTTTTTGGGGGGGGGATTGTTAAATTTGTAAAAATGAATTCTTTTACTTTATTTATATGTTTTTGTGTCTGAATAAATACACATATATGCACATATACACACATATAGATTGTACAAAAGTGAAATTGAATTCCAAAATAACTTCCAGTATATGTTCATAAAAAACTTATATAAGGAATCATTCCAACCACTCTACAAAACATGAACAACAAACCATCATTGAAATTTGACTTATTTGCAATAAATAGCCACATCCCAAAAAAATTTATTCAAAATCATCTGAGTAGGAATTGGAACTTTGACTATCCAAATTGTTGGTGTTTTAGGGACCCTAGAAGCACAATTCTCCAAACACAGTTGGAGCATGCATCTTTTTGGTAGCCATGGCATGATTTGGCAAAGCATAGCTTGCGGGTCGAAGCCGCAAGCCAAAAAGTTTTTGTGAAGTGCCATTTCCACTTGGAATTGGACAAAATCTTCCATCACATCTTGTGCCCCACTTGGCAAGCACTATAACTCACATCAAGACAAAAACAAAGGCACTTATATTTGAATTGTTGAACAACAAAGATGAACCTATTCCATTTTCATAGAAGACTCCTTTGGTATGTAACCTCAATATCATGGAAAAAGTCTTAGGCCAAGTCTTCTACACATTTGGCTAAGAGCACTTCATACACATTATTTTATTTCTCTGGTGAATCTTAAAACATTGACCTCTAGAGTCCTTCATTGTTCTCATTTGCAACATATATATATTGGTGCATTTATAGTCACAAAAATGTGCCTATTCATAGGGACATGGGTGTCATTCAATTATGATTTCTCATTTGGTTTGTGTGTGTTTGTGTGTGTGTGTGTGTATATATGTGGAGTCTCCTTGGCCATACTATCAAACAATGTGGCACATTTTTCAGTTCATTTCCATGTTGTCCTTGTGTTATTTATTTCAAAGTTTATTTTAAACTATATATACAAGACTCTATAATGTTATAGTTATACCACTAATTTCATTATGCTCTCTATTTATCTTCTTCAAGGGATCAAGAACAGTGACAACAATCAGAAAGTTGATTACAATAATCACAATTGTTTTCACAAGTTCAATTGATAAGGTGGACTTCTTGTTTGTACGGTTTTCTGTTGTTAAAAAACACAATGTTTGAATGGACCTGTGCTATTTGATTGATTAAGCCTTGGGGCATAAATTTTAAGTTTCAATCGACTCACAAGCCCATTTTTATGGAATATCTTGAACACTTGTCTGGAGTTTGAACACAAGCTTTTTGTATGATGTAGTATTTCATGCCAAATGGCAACAATTGTTAAAAAAACTTTGAAAGAATCATAGAATCTTAACGTTCTGTGGGGCCATGTACTCAAACAGTGTCATACATTTTAAAAAAACGGCTCCATAATGTAACTCCTGAACTGTTATGTGGCAGTGTATTGGATTTCCTCAATCATTCACACAAGGAGCAGAATGCACTCCAAACACACTTAAATTTTAATTTCCTTTTTTTTTTCTTCAGAATTAGGTTTAGAGTTACAATAAATGTCAATGGTGCTTGTTGGTCATGGATCCAACTTTCATGCCCAAATATCCTTGACATAAGACCATGGAAGTTCAACCAAAATAATTCCCCAATAGTGTTAACATTCTTCTCATTTCCATTTTTTTTTTTTTTTTTTCATAATTTTTTTATGGAAAATTAAACGTGGAAACAAACTTGCTTAAAGTAAAAAATTGAAGTAGTCTCTTTAGTACAAACACAACTAAATAGAAATATGGACATGGACATAGGGTTAATAGAGTGACATCATTTCATTTAAGACAAGCATAAGGACATCATGTGCAAATATTTTTTTAAATAAAATATTGAATGCACATAAAAAGAATATTTTTATCATAAAATTAAAAAAACATTAGAAAAATCTGTAAAAATTCGAGAAGAGTTTACAAGTATTAAAATTTAGTAAAATAAAATAAAAAATATAGTATACCAAGTATGCAACACGTTTATCTAATCATTGCCTTGTTGGGTTCGAACAGTCTTACAATGAGTGAATGGCATGGATGGATGAAAAATACGATGTAACGTCAACCAGTTTTCAGTTGAGGTTGCATCCAATTCTAAGGAAGGATATATTCCACAAAGAGGATGAAGAAACGAAAAAAGCATCGACCAGGGGAACGCGCACCACGTTCATCCCTCCAGGGAACAACGTCATCCTCGCGGGGAACAAACGCTCCCCACCCTCGCTCTCTCCCAGGGCCCCGTCGTACAAGAAGGGAGCGTCGTGTTCTAAGGAGCGACTTACAAGACCACAGGGCCCGGGATTCAAAATATTTACGACCTCTCTCTATACACACACACATACGAGTTGGTGGGTTTGAAAAATACTGAGGAGGAGGAGTAGCCTCGGGTGTAGCCACGAAGCGTAGCGTAGCGGGGGGTGCCTCCCAGCCATTCCCCTCTCGCCGAGGACGCATCCATCGTCTTTATCTTGGGGCCCCGATACGACAAATGGCGAGGGGGAGTGATGACAATCAATTGCGTGGGAACGCAGGCAAAATGCCCTTTTGTTTCTGCTTTCCTCGATTGCCATGCCCTTGTCGATCGATGCGAGGCAGGCAGGCAGGCCCTCCCTCCTGGTCCGAGTGAAGTGGAGTATCGCAGCAGCAGCAGCCGTTTTTCTCGTTATGCCTGCCAATCTGTGACAGGGGCCTCGGAATTTCCTTTACTGCGGCGACCACCCCCCGTTGGTTCGCGCCATGCCAATTGCGCGCATGGACCTGCGCCCCTTTCTCTCCTCTGATTAAACAACGCTAAGCCTACTCTTTTGGAGCAGCGGGGAGTTTGTTGCAGCTTTTCCCGTCTCTCTCTTGGTCGGCGATTCCTCTTGGATCCGTGATAGTTGCTGCTCTTGCACTATATCAGTTCCTCCTCGACGTTTCACCACTGGTGACTTCGAAGTGGGACGGTACAATCGTGACGTCGTGCCGTTTGTCTTCGCAAGCGAGCGAGAGAGAGAGAGAGGGAGAGAGAGAGAATCGTGAGTCGTGAGACGCGATTCTTTGGCGTCAAATCACTGCCTAGTTCGTTTTGGAGTGGTAGCTCTCTCGTCAGTGATTAATTTTTGGAGTGTGGAGGTGACAGGTGGTACATGCGAGAGCATGTGCTGAGTGGGAGAGAGGTTTCTAGGAGACTGATATCTCTGCCCAGTGGTTGAGGTAGTAGTTGATACGCAGGATAGTCTTAGAGATGATCGAATGATTCCGGAATCGTTATGCGGTTCTCTGCACGTTGTGGGGCATCGTTTTTGACTTTGAGTTCTCGGTTTTTTCCCGAGGAGAGCTAAGCTGGGAGGAGCGTTTATTCTGCACTCGAGATTGAATACGAGTGTCTCTCTCTCTCTCTCTCTCCGTGTGTGTGTGTTTGTGTGTGCGCGCGCTTTGCGTGCAAGCAGTTGAGGTCAATGTAGGACACCCATTTCTTTCTAAAGGGGTTGAGTATTCATTGAATCTTGGAGACTCCATTTTTTCATGCTGGAAGGCTTCTTCTGGAACATGTCGATTCGTTAATATGTTGTGGGACGAGGAGTGCACCAGCATCGTCGTCGACTTGCTGTGTGTGGAGCAGCTGTTGGCACAAAAAAATCTTCACCTGCTTGTAATTTGAGTCCGTGCTTGGACTCTCGGTGATTGCGCCAGTGAGGATTTTGAGTGGGACTCGTGTTGTCGACATGGCGGTTCGCGAAGGAGTTGCGTACCAGGCCCCATCCAGCTTCTCAAGTGTTTCTGAGTATGGCTACGCGATCCTTGATACTCCTGGGCGGCTCTGCGATCGCGCCTTGGCCGTGTCAACGCTAACCGAAGAGATGACCGAGGTATGACGCGGCGATCAATTTCAGAATCATGCTCTTATGCGGTCAATCGCCATGCAACGCTTCTCTCTTCTTCACTCTTGACGCATCTGTTGTTTTACTTAGAGGTCTTAACTATCAGTTTTAAGCAATAATCGTCGGTAGGATGAACCCCTTCTGGGAATTCCACCCTTATTAGTGTGATGCTATATTCCTCTTGAGCAGATGCCGAGCGATTCCGGAGGCGATTGTGGATCCCTCTTCGAATCTCTCTGTCACCCCGTGTCTAGCCTGGAACTTTGAGCCCCTTCTTAGCGTTTGGGCAGAAACGCTTCACATGGGGCAATGAATGTTCCCTCACTGAACAGGCTTGTTGTCTGCTCCGTAAGCATCATCGTCAGTGTATATCCTGTTGCTAATTTTCAATGGCACTGCTGTCGTGCTCAGGAGTTAATTGAAATTCTTTTTGTATCCCGTTTTTCTCAGGTGAAAGCTATGTCTGGTGCCGAGATGACTCGGAATTTGCGTTGGTGGGATGTCATAGCGTTGGGAGTGGGAGGAATGGTAGGCGCCGGGATCTTTGTCTCCACCGGAAGTGCTGCTCGCCTTTCTGGACCTGCAGTAGTGCTTGCCTACCTGGTCGCTGGAATATCGGCTCTGCTATCTGCTCTTTGCTACACTGAGTTCGCGGTGGAGATGCCGGTTGCTGGTGGTGCCTTCAGCTACCTGCGTATTACCTTCGGTACGTTAGTACCTGGTTTTGTCGCACCTCACCTACTTCCTTCAATTACAGCTTTCTTGTCTTCCAGTATTTATGCAATCATATCTCTAAAAGGCGTTAAAGCAGCTTTTTTCTGTCTGTATTAGCTTGCAATCACGCGTCGGGATTGGTGGATTGCTTGTTTCCATGGAATCGGTCATAATCTGGAAAATAACTTTTGTTTCTTTTCAGGAGAATTCCCTGCTTTCATCGTAGGCGCGAACTTACTTATGGAATATGTCTTGTCCAACGCGGCCGTAGCAAGAAGCTTCACGTCATATGCCGCGAGTGCGTATGGCGTGCTACAAGTTGATGCGTGGCGCCTGCATGTGGGCGGTTTGGCTGCAGGGTACAATCAGATTGATCTCGTGGCAGTCTCGGTGGTGATGTTCCTCACCGTTTTCTTGTGCTGCAGCACCAAGAAAAGTTCCGTGTTCAACTTGGTGATGACTGTTCTTCACATGGCGTTCATACTTTTCATCATTATCGCCGGATTCGTGAAAGGGGACACAAAGAATCTCACTCACGCCGGCGATCCAGCGGCCAATCCGTCAGGTTTCGTCCCCATGGGAATCAGAGGGATCTTGGGTGGAGCTGCAATTGTTTATTTTAGCTATATTGGTTTTGATTCTGTCTCGACCACAGCTGAGGAAGTGAAAAATCCAGCCAAGAATATGCCTATTGGTGTCTCAGGTTCAGTGGTCGTCGTCACTGTGCTGTACTCTCTCATTGCCGTCGCCCTGTGCATGCTGCAGCCTTATGACATGGTACGCTCTACTCTCTTCCCCGTCTCTTTGGCGACATCTTTACAAAGAAATTGTTGACAAATCGTGAAAAAATTTCAGTCGTGTTCGCACTAATGTCTCTAGCTTGTCTACGAATTGCTCGCCGGATTCTAGTGGTTCGAACTGTGTTCGGGGAGGGTAGGAATGAATGGCTCTGATTAAACTATATTCAAAAGCAATGACCACCTATGGAATTCGAAATATGGGCGGGTTTAAGGGATCTGAAAGTGGCTTGTTATTTGCAGATTGACATAGGAGCTCCATTCTCCACTGCGTTTCAGCACGTTGTGGGATGGGAATGGGCAACGAACTTCATTGGTGTAGGAGCCAGTTTAGGTATCATAACATCACTTCTTGTTGCGATGCTTGGCCAGGCACGCTACATGTGTGTGCTTGGTCGTGCGCACATAGTTCCGCAATGGTTTGCTGTCGTGAATTCTTCAACTGGCACACCTATCAACGCTACCGTCTTTCTTGGTATGTTTTGGTATTATACCTGTAGCACTTTTTTTTTGAAAAAAATGATTTTTTTCCTCATAGAGAACTTCACACCACCGTTGCAAAGTTCTTATGTGCATATTCGTGTACACAAAAACTAAAAAAGACACCTGTTTCTCTTATTTTTTCTGAATTGCGACCGTTAGTGTTTACCAGGTGGATGCACTGCTGCAATTTCACTCTTCACCGACCTCACAGTACTTCTTAATCTTATCTCCATTGGCACTCTCTTCGTTTTTTACATGGTTGCCAATGCTCTCATCTATCGCCGGCACCACGTTCCTGAGAAGACCAACCCTTTTCGAACGATCGCTTTCCTGACCATCTTCAGCGTTGATGCCGTTACATTTGTTACTATTTGGCAGTTTGACCACCACAACCGACACACCTGGGCTTTGTACCTGCTGGGTGGTCTGGCTCTCGCTATGACCACCCTATTTTGGTTCAAGGTGCCAACCGCGCAGAAAAACAAAGACTGGAGTGTTCCGTGCATGCCTTGGGTTGCAGCAGCATCAATTTTCCTGAACGTTTTCCTCCTGGGTTCAGTGGACAGGGCTTCATATGTCCGGTTTGTTACCTGGACAATCGTCGCAGTTGTATTCTACCTCCTTTACGGTGTCCATTCCACCTACGACGGTGAAAGAGCTCGAACGTCTTTGGACACTCCACTCAAGGAAGGAATCGAGTTCGAAAAAGAGATGGAGCAGAAATTTGAAGGAGGCCTGAGACCTCTTGTGGTACAAGTTAAATTTGAATCGCCTCCTTGGATCCGAGTCATTCCGTCGTCATTCCACAGTGTAACACTGGTTCCGGATATGGACGCAGTTGAGAAAGGAGAGCGTTAACACTTTGTCAATGAGTGTTATGGGTGGTCTGTTCTCGAATGCCCTGCAAATGGACAAGAGATTCCTTTGCTAGCAGAGAATCGCTGGGGATATAGCTGTTTGATATTATTGGTTGATTAGGTGAACTTTGCCCAGCTTTGTACAATCAAAACTAGCATCTCAAGTGGGGTTTAAGGCAACAAAGTAGTACTCTCGGATTGCAGTTCTCTTCCTTTCTAGTTTAGGGTAACTGACCCGGTTATGTAGAATTGGGTTTAAGCAGCCCTTGCCCATCAGCTGGTGTAAAATTGACACTTACATAGCTGACTGTACCTGTATACTTGTACCATATAACAGTACACAAAAAAAAGATCATGACCCTTCACAAGGGTTCAAGGTGTTTATGAAACTCGCTCTCTTCAGTCGCACTCTTTATTCACAAGGTTGGTTTTATCTGATGGTTTTGTTATCACGTCTCTGATTACTTTTTCTTTTTTTTGCTCTTTTTTTCAATGGGGCTGTAGGATCTTGTTAACATGCTCCAGTTACAGGGTTTGTCCTTCAGGGCTTGCTTGATTCCATGGTGCCATCATTTTCATTGATCCACACTTTTTGTGTGCAAATAAGAGTACTGTTCCTGATTTCAGACATGTTTGTAGTGTGACCCACAATGTTGATGGTATTGCTTTGCTTTGCCATGCTTGGTGGCTTAGAAATCAAATGTCATGTGAGCTTCAACCAGATTGTGGTGGATGAGGTGAACCCTCTCCTGATTGTGCATTTAAGAAACATAATTAGTGCACCTATTTTTTTTTTCTCTCTCTCTCTCTCTCTCTCTCTCTCTCTATATATATATATATGTACATAACATTCCTGAATTGTTAGATCTTGAAAAAATTATTGCCTATTATGGAGTAGATTCAAGAATATTTTTAGTTTTGTTTTGTGTGTTTTATTAAAGGTGTTGCTAATGTCACCACAATTTTGCTACTACCACTGCAACTTGTTATCACAATTTTTGCTTATGCCATCACAAGCTATCCTAAATTTATGTTGCACACCACAATGCACTTTATGGAGCAATATTAAGCAGCTTTCTTTATAATAATAATGCATTTAAATTAATTAAGTTCTAGAAATCTTGATGAGTTCTTTGAAATAAATCTTGTTCTTCTAAAGTGTAATCTTTAAGAAGTTTGATATTGTTACAAAATGTTTTTTCTTAGATTTTGAGCAAGCCATTTGAAGTTCTTTTTATGTGTTTTTTTGTACAAAATCAAATTAATTGTGTGTGGTGATGTTCTTTTCTAAGTATTAAGAAATATTTTTGAGATTTTATTAGTTGAAGATACATATTATTTTTTTATTTAATTTAAAATTTTGCTTAAATAGTCAATCATATTCAAAAACATATTTTTATTACTTTTCTTTTAAAGAACTTAGTACAAGTTTATTTAAAAAATGCTATATTTTAACTTAGAAAAAATTAAAAATAGTTGCAAAATGCTAAATTATTTAAATAGGAATATTTTTTGAATTATCATTTGACATAAATTTTTATAGAATAATGCATTTATTTTTTTAATATATCCAACCACAAATACATCTTAGCAATAAAAAATAATTTACCTATTTATTATTTTAAAATTAAAAATTAAAAACATGATATTATATATATAAAAAATTGAATCCTAACTTTAGGATTCAATTTTTTATATAATTATATATTAAGTTAAATTATATATAATTTAACTTTAGGATTTTTTAAAAAATACCCTTAATCAACTGTTAATATTTTAAAAATATTTTAGAGAAAACTTTATATATATATATATATATATATATATACATAAACTTTTATCTAATAAGTTTAATTTATTTCTTTTTTACTTAATTGTATATATGAGCCTTCTTTGCTTTGATATATTAAATTAAAGCACTTAGCTCCAACTGATCTTTAAAAAGAAATAAATGGTTCAAGCATTAAAATGTATATTTAAAGCCATTTTTTGTATTATATAATTTTTTTGATATTTTTTTTTCAATATAAAAACTAGTACTTTGTATAGTGATCTGCTTAATCATGTGTGTGTATATATATATATATATACACATTCAAATATGATTAAGAAATTAAATCTTAAATTTAAACTTTTTAAATTTGACTAATTTGGTATATTTTAAAGATAAGTTGCTTTTAAAATATATTTATTTAAGACAGATTTTAAAGTTAGGTAATTATCTAATTTTAAAGGAAGATATTACCTAAAGAAGAAAAAAAAAGAAATTCATTCAAATTTAAAAACTTTATGCTAGAATAGATACATTTATAATATATACTTCTTCATCTATTTTAATTCAATATTTGCAGATAGAAAGTTATTATGTTTTGTATAAAATTGTATATTAGATTCATGATAAGAAGAAAAAACTTTATGCTATCTTCTAACTTATGTATATTTACCATCTAATTAAGTATTCTTAATTCTTTTTAATTCTTCTATTAGCATAATTTTTTCAAGAAGTATATGTAATGATAAATGAAATATAAAAGATTTGATGTAAAATTTAATACTTGCAAAGTTGTATTAAACTTAGATACAAATATATAATATATATTGTAAAATATAAAACTAAATTTAATTAAAATGAGGTATTAATATTTTGGATTTTAAAATAAAACATAATAAATTGGAACAATAGAGTTGTTAAATTACATTAGAAGAACTAAATTTCTAATAACATACAATTTACAATTTATTAGAATTATGTAAATAAAAAATCTATATAATATAATGCAACAAAAATACTACCAGATCATCAGATTTTTTGAAAAAATATTAAACAACCCATAGTCACAATAATATTTTAAAAGAATCTTTATAGGCTTGTAGGAACTATTTTAATAAAAGAAATGATCTAAAACCGAAACCTACTCAATCCATTCAAAACAAAAAGGACTATCAAATTTTTAGGATAGTCGTATGAAAATTACAATAAGATGGGAGAAAAAAAGAAATGGTAAGTGTCTCCACTTCCCTAAACCCTAAACCCTTGTTTAAAGACAATTCTGTGGTGACTATAAAGAGTTATGGGATGATTAAAAAATATGCGTTGTAGAGGAATAATGCCAACAACAGTAGTTAGGGAGATGATAAAATAGTGTATTGTAGGGTTGTGAAACTACCAAAAATAATTAGGCCGGTGATGAGATTATCCATTACGAGATCTTGTACAAGGACACATGACTATTTTTAGCTTTAATAAAATAACAAAATAAATTTCAAAATATCATATCAAGGACATAGTTTATATTTGAATTTTTTATGAATAGTAAAAACATTATTAATAATTCTACAAGTCATTTGATAAATGTTTCACAATTCTGCTAGGAAAAAAAAAAGCAAAAAAAAGAAGAAGATAAAAAACACTCTCACAGTGGTTTCAGAGCAGTAGCACCTTTTGCACAGCGCATGGTTTGGTGTTCTGATAGCTCAAGAAGAGCCTGATTTTGCACGTTTTGTAGATCGAAAGGAAACCATAACCTAATAGTTAGTGTTGTTGCGAAAGGTTTTTGGTGTTGGGAAGGATCAGTAGAGGTTGCTGTAATGGTGGTGGTGAGATGGTCGGTAATAGTTGTGGTGGTTTGCCGGGAGCACAGTTGGTTGCTGCCCGTTGCGGTTGTAGTATGTGAGGTCCCACTGAGGATCGCTGATCATGTGTGCGGGCCTGTAGCTCGAAGACCCCAATGCTGCTGCCGAAGAGGGGCTGCTGTAGCCATGGTGAGGCACAATGTGAGCAGGGTGACTAGAATACGAGAGGATCTTTGATTTCCTCTTCACTTGCTTCACCCTTTTCAACAGAGCCTGTGGGGCGATGTTCCCTGACACGGTCACAGTCCCTGTGGGTACGCAGCAATGAACGCTGTAGACGCCTGCCCATCAATCGCATCATTAGATTCCTTCAGAGAAACTTAGAATGTTTGGTTGTGGGAGAAGTTGGTATTCGCACTAGTTACAATATGAGGAAGAAATACCGTTTGACTGGAAGAGACAGGACCGGATATCGAAATCCCCATTTGTTGCACAAATACCATGTTTTCCAGCTCTGGAACTACCTCTGGAATAACATGAAAACTTGAACTAAGGGGGTGACTCCGTAGAGAGTATCACTTACCATTTGTGGCTAAAGCGTGCTTCACCTTTTCCGCACATCTCTGGCTATCCATTGGAACTCTGAGTATCACATCCTGCTCAGGATTTTCAAGACATATGTGATGTGATGTGATGTGATTTGTTTATATATTTTTTTCCCCAGCAGTGACCTAACTATTTTAACTGCAAGGCCGAAGGAGGAAGGGACTAGATTAACCAATAATTCCAATTCTAACGGACAGTACATCACGAATTCTCCTGTATTCTGAGACTGCTGTGAAAAACCGACTTGCTCTGAAACACATCCTGATTGATGGCACCTACTCTGAAAATTGGCACCGACTGATTTCATACGACCTCAAAAAACGCCACAGTTCAGCAACGCCGGAGAAAAGCGGAGAGAGATCAGCTCACCGGCAACATGGCCCGACCACTGCTGGAGCTGGGATACGATGGAGCGCGACCACCATATCGATGGCTGTAGTAATCTTCCCCATCGGAGTAGTACTGTGGACCAAGTTGGTATTCCCTTCGGTGATAAGTTCGACCCAAGTCGAAGTCGCGGTTTCGATAGTCTCCTCCTCCTCCTCCTCCTGCAACGTAACGCACCCTGTCGGGCTTCCCATAGAACAACTGCAGACATCCACACACACGCCACACTCACCAGTCACTCATACTTCAACAACACTCTCTGCCAAAACCTCAATTCTAGCTCTCTTTCACTCTATGTGTATATATATATATATATATATATATCTTTCTCTCTCCTCTAGTGCATCAAAACAACACCAAAACCAAACACCCCACAAGCAGTTCTACATCCCAACGGAACGCATCTCCGAGGACTGTGTAACCATGAATCGGTGTGGACTCTCACATCATCCATCGCCAGCCTCGACATGATAGCACCTTGTTGGAACTAGTGAGCAGCCAGGTATAGATCTCTCTCTCTCTCTCGCTCTTCTTTGAGTCTGCGGTAGCACTGTTGCTGATTGTAACAAGTTAGAAGAATGACACCCTGCAAGCCAAACAGTGTAAGCAAAAACACACAGACAGCAGCATCCACGTCCAGGGAAGGGAAAGGGTCGTCGAGGAATGAGATCTCTCGTGCATAGAGTGATGGGAGTGATTTGATGTGCTAAAGCTGCTGCAGAAAAAGGCAACGCCGAGGTGGGTTGTATATGTGTATGTATAACCAGGCCGGCACTTGATAATAGATAATAAATAGGTGGGGATATCTCTATCTATCTATCTTTTTTTTTTTTTTTTTTTTTTTTTTTTCTCTCTCTCTCTCTCTTTATATATATATATATATACATATATTTATTGTTGCTCAGTAGTACTCATGAGTGGGATGAGAACTGACACTACTACTACTACTGTGGGTGCCGGTCTCCCTTTGGCATCCCTACCGGCTCTGCTGGTGCCGGCCCCGTATTGCTATGGATTAGAAGGGCCATAAACTCTTGAGATAAACTAATCTTGTTTTATATTAGGTAAACAACATATTGTCAAAGGCCTTAGAAATGGAAACCTCTACTTCATCAATTATAAGAAGGTGAATGGAATTGAAGTGATGGCATTTGTTGATTTTTTACAAAATTAAAACAAGTTTAAAATTTAGCATGAATGATTTGGTCATTCGAATGCCAAAAGAATGAATGATCTCTAATCTATGGTAAGTAGCTTAGATCTTGGTTAATTTAATTACAATACCATAACACTTGCTCGTAAAGGTTGTATCCAAGGCAAATTAAAAAAAAAAAAAAAAAAAAAAAAAATCTTTATTTCTAAGTGGAATTACAATACATGCTAGCAAATTATTAGAAATTGTACATTTTGATGTTTGTAGATCAATGGGCATGCCATCAATTGGAAGAGAAAGATATTTTTTTATATTTATTAATTATTTCTTAAAAAAGGTATAGATTTATATCCTTAAAGCTAAGAACAAATATTTCTAAAGGTTTAAGGATTTTAAAGTACTTTTAGAAAAGCAATATAAGTAGAAGATTAATATATTACACATCGACAATAGAAGTGAGTACATGTCAAAATATTTTGATGAATTATTGAAGATTCAAGGCATTGCAAGACAAACCCTTGCTCTTTATATTCCAAAACAAATTAAAGTTGCTAAAAGAATTAATTGCATTATTATAGAGATGGCAAATAATATGCTTCATGCACAAAATCTTGAATATGAATATTGAAAAAAAACTATGGTTACAATAGTGTATACAAGGAATAAGTGCCCTATAAGTACATTCATATCAATGATTCCATAAGAAGCTTGGAATTGCAAGCAACTTTATGTTTTTAGATGCATTATTTATATAAAGATATTTAATTTTATGATGTTCAAACTTGATGGAAAAAAATACAAAATATGTATTTTTTAGATATTATGAAGGTACCAAGGTATATAAGCTAATATGTTTAAAAACCAAAAGATCATTAAGAGTCATAATATAGAAGTTTTGCAGCATAAGAATACTTGTGGATATTTGGAGATATATCCAAGTAGGAGTAATGGTTTGTTTATAGATACATCTTTAATTCTAGAAAAGAAAGAATAAGAAGATAATAATGAGGATGGTGGAAATATAAATCAAGATGAAGAGCTAAAGCAAGTAGATAAAAGTTTATCTACAATTGTTAGAACTAACAATTAAGAAAATCAAGATATTAAAAATGATGATGATGATGATGAGGAGGAGTATCAATCTTTGAATGCAAAAAAATAAGTTTTAAGAGAGAAGAAGCTTGTTAGAGGCCTTGGAATGTATGAAGATGAATCTTCATCAAGTAAAAAAAATATCCTTTAAGAATTAAAAAACAACTTGGTAAATAGTAGAAGAACCACATCTTTTTTCAAGTAAGTAAATAACATGTTAATATTATATTTTTTTTATTGATCCATTGAGTTTATATGATACAATGAAGTCCACAAATTCTATTAAGTAGGAAAATGCTATAGAAAAAGAGTATAAATCACCTATGGAAAATAGAATATGGAAATTGACTCAACTTCCACCAAATTGATCTTCAATTGGTTGTAAATAGATATTTAAAACCAAAAAGAATATATTAGGTAATATTATAAGATACAACATTATAATGGTTGCTAAAAGCTACTCACAAGTTATTGGTATTGATTTTAATGAGATATTTGCTTCTGTAGCCAAATTTACTACCATTAAAATCATTGTGGCAATTAGAACAAAAATGGACTTAGAAATTCATTAAATGGATGTAAAAAAGGCTTTCTTAAATAAAAATTTGAAAAAAAATATATACATGGATTATCTTCAAGGATTTGTTGAAAAAAGAAAACAAGATCTTTTTTTTAAGTTAAAAAAATCTTTATATGAACTCAAACAATTACTAAAGACATGGTACTAATGTACTGATATATTCTTTGTAAATGAAAGGTTTGTAAAGAATGAGGCTAATCATTCTATGTATGTAATGCAATCAAATGAGCTCATATTGATTTTCATCTTTTATATTGATGATTTGATCATCTTAACTGATACCTTGAAGATGATAGATTGATTAAAAGCAAAGTTAGAAAAAGATTATGAGATGAGTGATTTGGAAGAGCTTTATTATTGTTTAGGAATAGATTTTATAAGAGATTGTATTAAAAAGACTATTAAAATGAGCAAAGTAAGTACATTAAAGACGTATTGAAACAATTCAATATGAAAGAGTGCAAGCTTATTGGAACACCTTTGGAAATTAATTTGAAGTTGATAAAGATTATAGATAAGGAATCTAGTCAGATGCAAGGTTTTTGATATAAAAGAGAAGTAGACTCACTTATGTACATAATAGTTGGAATAAGAATGGAGCTTGCATATGCAATAAGTATTGTGAGTCAATACATATCAAAGGTAGAACAAATTCATTGAGCAACCATCAAAAAAATCATGAAATATTTAAAAAGCACTTTGCATATTAAATTGTGCTTAAGAGGTGATAATATTACTTTGTATGGTTATTACGATGCAACTTGGGTTAGAGATGCAAATAATAGAAGGTCAACAACTTAATATATATTCTTTGTTAGAATGAGAGTTATTTTATAGAATTGCAAGAAAAAACCAAGAATTACAAGGTTAATAATAGAAGCAAAGTATATGACAGCAAGCCATGATACAATAGAGGTAATATGGCTAAAATAACTTTTTGAAGATATTAGAGTAGTGCAAATGGAAGCAACTCCAATAGAGTGTAACAATCAAGGATGTTTGACTTTTGCAAAGAATCCAAAGCATTATTTAAGGACCAAATACATTAACATTTGACATCACTTCACAAGAAAAAAGATTGAAATGGAAGTAATTGATATGAAGTATTATGCAACAAAAGACATACATGTTGATTTCTTGTCAAAGGCATTAATAAAGAATAGATATTACATGTTGACAGAGGCAATAAGATTGAAAGCCTTTGATAAATAACAAAGTAGGAGTATTAAAATAAAAAAAACAAAAAAAAATATTTTATATAAAAAATTATCTTAAATAAGTTACTAATAGTCAAAGGATTGATTCTTGATATGTGAAAAAAGACATCCTATGGAAATAAGACAAGATCAAGGACCAAGACTCAAAGTCAAGAAAATAAAGTATGAATTAAAAAATATTCAAAGACTAAATAAGAGTAATTAATATTTGGTATATGATACTTTTTTGATTAATAAGATGCGAGAGGATCTAAGGACTATATGTATAAAAGTTAAAGTGTAGAAGTTGTCTTTTAAGACAACAACTACTACTTATAAGTAATAGATGTTGGAAGTGAGAGTTATCTTATTCCATACTATCTTTGTATATAATTTTTTTGATGCTATATATTGTGACTTTTAAGTTTTTTTTCTTTAATATGACTGACATGGACACTAATTTTTTCTTGAGGATATTTTCAACATCTTTGCTTTTTTTTTACTTATTGATGATGAACAAGCTGAATAATCTTATGATTGTCTTATTCAACATGTGCATTATTCTCTTTCATTGAATTGAGTAGGTTTTTGACTTACATTGAATTATGTAATAAAAGACCCTGAAATATGCCCACTATCTCTTCTTTGATTGTTAATTTTTGCAACTTTGAGTGCTTGCTCAAACAGTCCAATATACTTGAAGCAATTTTTTATTACTGTTGGAGATAGTTTTTTTCAAGCTACAAGGCACCAATACATTGTCTATTAGTTGATCAATCTTCTATAATTTGAGCTCATTTTGCTTATCTTGGTTAAGTATATTTTGCAAATAGAAGTGTTGATAGTACCGTTGAAATGCTGCAATAATTCCAGCATTTATTAATTGAATCTTTGATGTGGTATTTAGAAGAAGCATATAGATATCAATGTTTGGAGTCATACAATTATTTGTAATATGCGATGGTTCATTGTCTATTGGAAGAAGGATCTGCCAACATGCCCTTTCTATCTCTTTATTGAATTTTTTCAACCATTCTTGAAAAGAAAAAAATCCTAATCATCTATGTTTTTTTTATTGGAACATTAATAAAAGTCCAATTATTTGTTTGTATAGTGGTTGAAGTAACAAGGCTTGTAGGCATGGCTAATAAAAAAAGGAAACAACTTGTGGATTCTATTGGCATTTGCTATAAATGCAATGGTGATCTTTGTGTTTTTATTTATTTATTTATTTATTTTGTTGTAGTTGACAATTCTTTGTTAAGCAATGGTTTAATCTTGTATCATATTATAAAATACTCTTGTTTCATCTATATTATAAATATTGTACAAAATATAACTTGAAATTTGAATGTGTAAAGTAGACATTGTTATATTGATACTAGCTTGATCAATTGAGCTTGCCTCTCCATGTATTTTAATAACCTTCAACTTGTGACAAGAAAAAAACTTCTCAAACTAGCTATTTGAAAATTTGATTTTATCTTCAAGGATTGTAAGCATCTCTACAAACTATGAACATCACTTCTTAATGAGTTCAAATAATAGCATCATATTTCAAGCTTGACATTGGAAAATCTACAAAGCAAGTACCTCCTTGAGTTTTGGAAAATGAACCATCCTTTGAAACTTTGCTTAAAGTTGATTATTATCTATTGCTATGTACTTATCACATTTCTTTAGAATCTTGCTAATGCTAATTTGTGAGGGTGCTTTCACAACATTAAATTGAATTTTGGCATACTCAAAAAATGTTGTTTGCAAGATCAAAGGTTGTGCATTATTTTATTTGCAGATCTACAATTATTGTACATTGGTAAAACACGATATTGATATGGTACCCTAGTCAAACATTTTGGTTTAAGAAGATGAGTGAGAATGCTTTCTTTATGAATTTTTCAAGACTTGAAAGATACATGTTGATGTGCTTTTTGTGACTTATATGCGATGATGGTAAGATGTTAGGTATGTTGGGGAGGAATGCACTAGGCAAATGGCAAGTTTACATATAAAACACATTTTGAGCAAATTGATGATGTCATGGCCTACATAAGTTTTAACCTCCTACAAGTTATGTTGTGCAGTGTGAATCAACCCTATAACTTAGTAGAGGTAATATTGTAGAACCTATCTATAAGTTTTATTTTATTGTTAGTGAATTCTGGAATTTATTTTTAATAGGTACTTTCAAAATGATTATAAGTTTTATTTATTGTAAGTGAATTCTGGAATTTATTTTTAAAAGGTACTTTCAAAATAATTATAGTCTTGTCTTAATTAAGAATGAGTATAAAAATAAAAAGCCATTTTAAAAAAATTCAACTTCTTATATATATTATATAAAGTTTAGTAATTTAGTTTTACATAGAATGAACTTAATTTTTTTATCATTCAAGATATCTATTATTATTTAACATTTTTTTTTTGGAAAATGAACCAGTTTTAAAGATAATTTTGCAATTTTGCAATTTTAAGAAAAAAAAAAAAAAACAAACAAATAACGAAAAACCTAAATTTTCTTTAAGGTTATTATTAATAATTTCTGTCTCAATTATTGTTGTTTATTTTTGCTTTAAATTTTTTATTACTAAATGTTGCACTATAAGTGAATTGGTATGAAATAAAACCAATGATGTCACCATTTGGAGCAAATAATACATGCATGAAAAAAAATTCCATGAAAACAATACATACACATACATGAATAGTAAATGACATTCAAATTTTCAAAGTATTAAAATATATATATATATATATATATATAGATGGATAGATATGGTTGAAATTTTTTCCATCAAAGCAAACAATAAAGAATATGCTCACAAAAGTACTTGAAAATCATCACTAAAGGTTCACAAAATTATTGACTTTGATAGCCTTTGCTAATTTGCAAATGAATTTTCTAAAACTTAGAGTGCAACTCAGCTTTCAGCTACTTGTATTAAAATTTTAAAAATACTCTGCATTTTATTGCAGTCTCTAGACTGTTATCTTTACACAACCTCTCTCCCCACATTGCACTTTGGTAAATACTTCAACAACTTAAGTAGTATTAGTGCTTATTCAACTACTCCTCCAAGAGATGGATTTCATTTTATCTATAAAATTTCTAAAATCATTAATAAACTACTCAAAAAAAAAAAAACAATTATATTAAAAAAAAAATAAAAAAAAAAAACTCCCTCCCGAAGGTGTACAACTCTACATGTTTGTACATTATCTCTCTGTCTATTTGTCTACTTGTCTATTTGTTTTATCATTTTTTTTGGATCTTTTGTTTAGATTTACTTTTTAGATTTTTCATTTTTTTGTTTTGTTTTGTTTTGTTTTTTTTGTTTGTTTGTTTTCTTAAGCTCACTGCTTCGGGTGATTGACCATGACCTGCAACCAGTGTCAGCCCTCAAACAAAGACACATTTTCTTGGTTCTCCTCAAAAGCATGGACACAGTGCAATTATGTGTAGAGAGTGTATGAATATCACACGGCCATGACAACAATGGGTCAATTTTTGACCACCCAACTCAGCCGCACAAGAGGACAAGAATGAGGACAAGAACAAGGAGTATTCTTTTGCCAAAGGAGCCTAAAAAATGGATGCCTATGAAAATCTCCCACATCATCGTTGTTGTTGATGCTTGAATGAGTCGACAAGGCTCACAGAATCTCATTTTTATGAAACAAAAAAATCTGTTTCTTTGGCTTTTGCAAAATTGTTGTCTACTTGTGCAATTGAGATTTGGGTCTCACCAAAAACCCACCCACCAATGTTCCCATGGCATTGCCGCATGCAACCATCCACATGGCTCATAATATCTTTGTTCAAGTTTACTCATTTTTATGGCTAAATAGCAAAATCTATAGGTAAATGGCTAAATAGTGGAATAATAATAATAAGAAGAAGAAGAAGAAGAAGAAGAAGAAGAAAGAAAGAGAAGAAGATGATTTATTGCTCAGTTCAGACATCATTCTCTGTATTTTGTTTATATCAACATTTGTTTTTAGTTTTTAGTTTTTTTTCATTGAAATAAGAGGTTCTGTGTGGAGTTGACATGGCGTGATGTAATTGCATAATGAATTGTTCCACTTGGGGAGAATATACAAAATGATGAATGTATCTGTCAACTAACAAGAAGGGTTTGTTGTGCATTGGATTGCCTAATTAGAATTGGAGTCGATACTAAAGGAGCATTGTGATTTCTATGATTATTTGCTTTTTTTATTTTTTTATTTTTAATCAACGTCAAATAGTTTGTCCTCCACCAATAAGTTGTGTACAAATGGTTGTGTGAAAAATAATAGTTCCTAGATCTGATGAAAAAATTAAGTATACGTGTATCTGGATTTTCAAAGTACAAGAACTGAGTTCCTTGCAGGTTTTGGTCCCAATATCTTAATAACTCAGTCAGCAGATCATAAATAATATATATATATATATATATATATATATATATACCCATCTAATAGATCAACACAATTTTAAAATCAGTATCAGATGCTCCTTTAATACTAATAATAATACCCTCATCTCCAAACCACAACTCACTCACGGAATATAAATAGCAACCGATAATTTTAGAGAAAAAAATGTGAAACGTGATTCTGGCTACCCTTCTCGATGACATTCATTTTCAAACCTGCGTTGTAGAAAGTATATTTGTGAGTGCATACTACAACCGAATGAGTGAATGTGTTCACAATTTGTAGCCTTCACAATTTGTGTTGTGAAATGCTGCATGCGATATCAGTGCGAATATCCGACCTCTGTGATGGTTTTCTTCACAAAATACTACTTATATGCACATTCCACACACTCAGAAAACACATACAGGCATGAACATAAACCATGTTGAAGGAACGAGTAAATGCGCTGTGTGGAACAGATTCATACACATTGTGCATCTGAAAACCAGTTCTAGGCTCAACGAATGAAGCAGACATCGACATAACTTCTGCAAAATTCATTGCTCTTTTGAAGCCCCATCCAAGGATTTTAACCATTAAAGAGAAGAACACAGTGACGGGAAGTATAGACTAGAAATATACTCATATTTACATTCACTTGGAACTCCTTCATGACAATGTCAACGAGCTCAAACTCAATCAATACACCGCTCGCATTTCGTTTTGTAACTGTATTGCTCTAGACAATGTGTGGACTGGATTTTTCTGAACGACGAGGCTGCAGCTTTCGCGAAAAAAATGTAGTTCACTCGAAGCCTCGACACCAACAACAACAACACTGCACAAATTCTATACAATACTTCTACTGATTGCTCTATGTACAACGAGGCTTGAACAATAGCCCGGGGAATCATCAAACCTCATCATCGAAGTGCCGTGTTTTTGTTTTTGTTTTTTTGCATTTGTTTTGTTTTCTCAGTGCAAGTAATTCGGTTCGAAGTACTTGACGTAGCAGGGATTCGTGATCACAGGGCTGACGGAACCCTCAAAGCGTGGCGCGTGCACGTCATGGCCAGCACGGGCAGGTTTGTAGCGATTGTATGAGGTTGGGTGAACTGGAGGCCGGTGCTTCAAACTGCAGGAGATCTCGTAAGATGAGGGCCTGTACCCACTTCGGTGATGATGTTTCCTCGGCGATGAAGCCTCCGGCAACAACAACAACAACTGCGAATGTTTGTCGACCTTTCGAGCTCTCTTCAGTATTCTCAACGCGTCCACATAACCGGACACCGTGACTCGTTGTGTAATGGGATTCACCGTCACTCCGGTGACGCCTTCAATGTCCAGCATGATCTCTTGGATCTTCTCCTCGCATTTGTTGCAGCACATGGCCACCAGAAGCTCCACCACGTGAGGCCGCCGATTGTAGTACGCGCGGCCGGATTCGTTTAGGACCATGTACGAGGACGGTTTGTTGGCAGAAAAGAAAAACTCGGTCATGTCCATGACTGATTTCCCACACACCTCGAAGTGGCAACTTCTAGTCAAAGCCAAAACAATTTGGGTTACACTTCGCTTCAGTCGTGATCGTAACCCGGTTGAGGTTTTCAAGCACAGGGGGACAGTGTGGCATAAAGAGCTCAACCACAAAAAATAAAAATAAAAATAAGCACAGAGAATGGTGCTGTTCTGAATGAGAATTGAAGATTGGAAGAGACGAATCAATCACGGTTAAGAAGGCTTCCAAGTCTCCATCCAGGAGGGACCACATACAGAAAATTTAATATTGTGCAGTGAAAGCGTGTGATGTGGTTCAGAACGTGGCAGCAACAAACTTGTCCACACAGTATTTTAAAGGTTTCCGACCTGGGGAATCAAAGGTCTCTTGTTACATTTCATCTGATTCACTTGCGTTTCGCCATAAGGCTCCTCATCGCCGTTCGAGGTGAGAGAATAATCAGTCCCAGCTCGAGCATCTGTGGCGAAATCATTCCCCAACGGCGACTGAATCATATACTACTCACCAACAACACCACTAACAACAACATGCACAGCTTGGAACACCCGATGAGTAAAAAATATCACACTCCAGTTCTATTCACCTCCAGTTGCAGTTTATCCGCCAGGCAGAATCTTCTTCATCTTCTTCTTCTTCGCAAAACCAGGAAATAATATTTCCCGCAACCTTGAACTGCTCATCACCATGTTTTGGGAAAGCTGCTGCAACAACAACAACAACAATATCATCAAGCCAGATAACGAAGGAAGGCAGGAGTGAAAGAGAGACAATGACTATTGTAATCTAATCTAATCAATCCCACTGACCCTGGGTAATTAATTAATTGATTATACTCCCTCTCCCTCCCTCCCTCCCTCCCTCCCTCCCTCTACACCATCATCTAGACTGGCCTGAATGAATGAGTATGAATGAGTGAACCATTCTATTTTGTAGTTGTTGGTTGACTTTTCATTATTTGTTGCCAAGTCTTTTTATTTTTATTTTTATTATTTTTAGTTAAATAACTATTGCTTCAATTTTCTTAACTCAAACTTGTTCTTAATATGCTTCTTGTACTTGAAAAAAGTTTTTTTTATTTTTTATTTTGTATAACCATACAATTGGAATTGAAAATAGTCTTTGCTACAATTATATGTTCTAAGATATTTATTAATTAGTCTACTAATAATTTGCTTCATTATGCAGATTCTAATTTTTCTATTAATTCTTTTGCCTTCAAAACATTCTTTCAGATTTTTTTTTTTTTTTTTTTTTTTTTTTTTTAATTCTTTATACCTCTTTAAGATCTTTTTAATTTAACAATAGCTTTTTCTAAGATCAAGGGCCTTCACTACATATTTATTAATATAGTTAATTTGAAGTTAAAATTAAAGGTCTTAGTTTTCAACATCTACTATTAAAATTTGCTCAATTATTCAGATTGGGACATTATTTTATATATCTGTTGTTATTGATAATGGGGGTTCTTTTATCTCTTAGATGGGGCTTTATTTTTTTTTTCTTTAGAATTAATCTGAGATTTCTAATAAAAAAATCTCACTAATTATTCTCTTAATCTTTACAAGAGCTTTAAACAAATTCTTTTCATAAGTTAGTTTGTCTTCTTTTCATTTTTAATAGATTCTACACTTTTGAGTGTCTTTTTTAGAGTATCCATTTATATTGCATGACAATTGTCATATATCTAGAGTTTTTTGTTACTTGATTTTAAGACTATTGTATATTTTTATGTTGTTTTTATTATTAGTTACTCTTTTATATATACAAATTTATTGTTTAAAACCCATTGCCATAGAAATACCTTGGTTATTCCTAATTAATTATTTATTTAGAAATATAACATGTAAAATATAAAACAGTGTAAAACATCCTTAAAATCAAAGACCATACAGAACAAATTACAAATAAATTATCCAATGATAAATCTTACAAGACATGTCAAAACTAAAAAGGAGTTTTGAAAATTAACAATGTTAAAAGATACTTTTATTTAAATGAAGTTTTTAATGAAATCTTTATAAATTGTTATTTTTTTGGATTTCATAATATAATTAGAAACTAACATGTAATTTATAACTTAAATTTATATATATATATATATATATATATATATATATATATGCATTCTTGTAATATAAAAGAATTTTAATATAATTAAGGTGCTAGTTAGTATATAAATATTATATGTAATTGATTTTTTAATTAAAACTTTTAAATTTTCTTTTTGAAACTTCTACTATTAATGATGTTGCACATAAAGCCATAGACACAATTAAAACATATTTTCATGAAAGAAAAAAATTAGAATATATAATATTTGACAAATATTATCTTTAGTAAAATATTCATTATTACTTTATAAAGCAACACTATAATGCCAAAGCATTGAGTTCCTTCACAAATATTGCATTAGAATGTAAGACCATTAATTGTTATTTCTCATAAATTAAAATTTTTCAAATAATTAATAAATTAATTTATATTTTCTAGACTTTAAAAATTCTCTTTAATATTAGTAGCCAAAGTCGAACCATTACTAGATGATGCTTTAAAATAGAACTATTATTGAAGATATCTAAAATAACTTTACTTACAAATAATTTTAAAAAATAAGACAGGATTAAACAAATCTATGATAATACATGTAAAAAAATAAAAAATAAATAAAAAAATAAATGAAATTAAGTTTTTTTAATTAATAATAGCAACTTTTAAAAAATATTAAATTATAAGCTTTTATGCTTCTAATATCTTAGATCCTATTCATTTGAATATATGATGGTCTATGAAAGTTGAATAAAATATTGCTTGTTTTTAGTTTTATTTTGAAACTTTTATTAATTTTTATTAATATCTTTAAAAAACTATTTATAAAAATATCTTTATATTTTAAATTATATTTTTTAATTTTTATTTTTATATAATAAAATGTGATATAATATAATAAAAAAATCACAATCTAATGAAAACAATACATATAAATCTAATATATTTTGAGATTTTTGTTTAAAGCATGGCATAATTTTTTTAATTTCACAAATTCTCACGTACCTAGCAAAATAGCTTTTTACAAAACAAAAAAAAAAAAATCATTATTTTTAAGTCATATTGATTTAAGTATAAAAATTCTAAAATTTCTATTTTATTATAGCTAGATTATGTTGTTATATTATTTTTCCAAAATTAAATATATGCTTCTACTCTTAGTAACAAAACATCTTCCACTATATAATGTAGAAAAAGAAAAACAAATATTGTATTTATATGTGTATATGTATATATATATATATATATATACTTTGAAAAAAATAGATGTTAGAATATTGTATATCTAGTAATAATTCTAAAAATAATATTGATAGTGATTTTGATAGTGATCTTTGGCTTCCCAGCACTGAAAAGATGCGAGTGTCAAGCCGAAGCCACTTGTCAAAACTAAGTGGCATTGCATTTGAAAGAATCAATTGTAGTTGTTGATGGGTCTACATTATGCGCGGTGAGTGAAAATAAAAACTATAGTTTGTACATCTTACTTTACAGCTGTCTCTTCCAATTGAGATTTTCAAGGCTTTTAGTGATGTGAAAACTTGTGCATGATTCAAATCGGCGAAGCTGATGTAATGCAGAATTGTCAAGATTTGTAACATTTCAAAACCTAATTTTGGTACTGGTAAACCTGGTAGTCTCTACTTGCATGGCACACAGTTCAATGATAATGACACGTTGTAGTGTAAAAGCGTATCAATTCCTTTGAACGCAGAGGACCTGACGTCTAAAACTGCACCTTCTAGAAACAATTTTCGGTGATTGCACTTCACAGCGGGACCGAATCCTCTCCACATTTGAGAAAAAGCATAATTTGGTTGATACAAAATTTACTTGAAACATCTTTGTGAGAAATGTCTGGCCCTCTAATTCGATCATAGTGACGTAAAAATAAAAACTGATTATTCTTCAGAGATCCAACTGTAGTAGGCTCTCTGTGTTGTGCTGGTATGGAATTATTTTTCTTTTCTTGGAAGTAGCAACAGCAAAGTACTGGTCACAGAATTTCGCAGGTGTGACTTTATCTTGATCAAATCACCGACGAAGTCAAAAAAGCTGGTCAGGCCTATTAACTATTCAGGATACACCAAAAGTGATCTCTGGCCAGAACCAACTCCAGCCAGCTTGTGGGATCTTCCGGTGCAATACCGCGCATGTCACAGCAATCCGAATGCACATTCAAGTTACTGAAAATCTCGAAGCCCCGTTACTATTAAAAGAATTATCTACATTAGATTTACCAGCCGCTCATTTGAATCCGAATACTCCATTAGTTATACTCATTCAGGTCAGAAAACTACCCCTGAACCCCAGATTTTGTGTTTAAAGTTTACTTTTACGGACTTGCTTTCCATGAAAAACGGTGAAATCTACATCGTCACGCTTTGGAATACAACACATTCCATATTCCGTTGAGAAGGATATTACCCAGCTTTCAAGGCTGAAATTTTTTCCAGCCGATATGTATCCCACGACACCAAATCAAGGGTCTCCTATTGCCATGAACAAACCGCGAATCAGTCCAAACTCTCGATATCATTCGCGTGTCAGTGAAAGTAATAGTCTAAGCATCGATTGCCACGTCTAGTCGCCGATAAACTATTAATTTCTATTCAGATGACAGGGCATAGCCCGCCGGAGTGGTGGAGCCAATGATGGCTGACGCATCCCGCTTCGGCACATTCACCTCCCTGATGTAAGGCTGCCACCATCCTCGTGGGTCTGGGCAGCTCTCTGAATATCCATCAGCAGCCAGTTCCTGCAATCATGCATCCCCGACGTACATCACAGTCCCGCTCCAAAAACTCACACTAATTACTGTTTCTATGTGTGATTAGCACCAATTTTCCTGCTGCCAATGCTTGGTTTTCCAAACTGGCCAAGTTTGGTTGTTATTAGGTTGCAAAGACTAGTTGGTTTGGTTCGAGGAGATCGACATGAACAGCTCCTTTAGAGGGCAAAGCCAGCCAAGTTGCCTTTTCAAACAAGCTTGACACACACTATATAATTCAGCGACATTGTATTACTGCTATTGATGAGCTCTTATCGTTGTCGAATTGTAGTGCCCAAGCGTTTGACAGATGCGAGGACATAGTTGAGCTCTAAGGAATTCTGGAATTCAGGGTGGACCAGCAGGCTTGTTGCGTGATTGTGCCCAGGCATATCGATCCAATGAGCACAATTGCATTCGGCAGCTGGCCAAGTTATTGTAATGCCGGTGTTCGATGTGGATGTGGCGAGCAGAAAAAGTGGATTTGTTATGTTGAAGCTTGACAGACATGTGTAGGAGAAAGTTAGAGACTTTTTTATGATCTCTACTTATTGTGTTGAATTGAAAATTTCTAGAGCATTGTTGTGCTTGTAATGCGGTGAGAAATAATGATCTTTGTTTTTATGTGCATGTATGAATAGTTGCTTAGGTAGTAGAGCATGTGCTCATGCAAAACACGGCTTTTCCCTCAACTTTGTGGAGATGAAGGCCATTAGATCAAACAAGTGCCGCGGATTATCAAAGAATCCTCTGATTCATAATTGAGAGGTAAATTGACTCGATTGTCTGCCCGGGATGTGCAAGTTTGATCAATTTCAGGGCCAAGTTAATTAATATCTGAATGTACATGTTATCCAAAGACGGATACAAAAACTACAAGAAACATTCTCCAGCCGATGTACAATTTTACTCCAGTGACGATTATGTCTTTTTTCTGTTCGGATTTCTGGAAGATGCTGCTGTCTTCACTGCGGAGATTATGTACAGATCATCTTCAACGCTAGATTCTGTTTTGACGAATAGAAATTCGTGATTGTGACGGAAGGAATTTCTATGGGATTGAGTGAGCAGCTTGAAACATTTCAAGTGCCGTGGCCGGCTAAATTGTGAACGCACTCACATGACACCCGCCCATGTAAACTCTTAGCTTAGCGTATGCTGCTGGTCAAAGTTGTGCATAAAATTCATGGAATGGTTTGCCGTGCTTTAAACTCCAACATCGCACAATCAAGTTTTTTTTTTTTTTTTCTTTTTTTCTTTTTTTCTTTTTTTCTTTTCTTTTTTGTTGCAGGAATGGATGCTTCTGTAATGTCCTCTGCAAGAACCACAACTTGTGAAATTTAAGGAAGAACTACTGCAAACATTTTCGGGATGTGGGCACACCATGCTCTACCCACTTTGAAAACACCAAACCTTCGAATCACGTTGCATGCTCAGGTCACCAAGTCTGGCAACGCCACTTTCGAGCCCTGGAGTTGTTTAACATAGCTCCACTAAAAAATCCCCGTTTCGTTGAGTTACTCAGTGCAAAGTTGGAAAAGCTATTGTAAACTATGCGGAGTTCAGATCCCGTTCTTCGCCAAGTGGCACCAAGTCCATGACGCGGGCGCGCTCTGGGTGGATGAAGGTTAATAATAATATCAACACTGGAAAAAAAGACTTGTGAACTTTCAAATGTGACGGTTCTACTATATTTGGAATGACAAGCAAGTCCGCCACAAGGGGTAGAGGTAAAGTTTTGTGCCGCAGCAGTGGCCACGCCATTAGCACTTGCCAGCAGGGATTGAAGCTCATCAACTGCGAACAAATATAGCCTTCCACGTCTGAGTACAAACTCCACACTGGCAGAGAGCTGGCACGAGGACAAGATTTCACACACACGACTGGTTTCTTATTGTGATCTAAACATAACCCACACAACCCCACAGAATTGTTTATGCACCACAAAATTGTGAGGTCAGTCAGAACCGCGGCGGCTACCACTCAAAATTGGCTGTCAAACCTCAACCTCGCGGCCTGATGCAGCCAAAACTGTGCCCAAGCAACATCCAAGCACAGACGTCCGAGTAATTTAACGCACTCCGTAACCTCGAATCCCACCACTTTGGCCATTGTAACCCACTGAGTGTGAAGACAGTAACCCAGTTGAGGAAAAGCTCCAGCGGAGTGAACTCACAACTGATGGGAGGAATGCACAAGTGCTGTGCAACAAACAGAACAAACTCCAGTTGTACGATCCCATGCTAGATTCAAGCACTGCCATCAGCTCAGCATGCTGCAAACTTGGGATCGGTACGTGTGTGCGGCAAGGACTGTGACTGACATCTCGCTCGCTTGCAGTAGGCATTCGGGATTCGGAGTGTGGCTGATCTCCGCTGTGCAACCGATCTCCTCGTCGACATGCGATTTCGGTGTGTTGCCGACACGCGGTGGGTCCTGGCGGTGGTTACCGACAACAGCGACTTCTAGATGTCCGTTTCTTCACATTAAGTTACCATAAAATGGTAAATGATTTGTTCATATATATATATATATATATATATACTAAAATAAATAGTAAAACTTGATTTGCGACAGATTTATTAAAGTAAAAAAAGGGAAACTAGGTAAGTGTTTTTCTCTTTTATCTTTTCACCAATGAGTGAAGGTTAAACAGTCACAGTAAATACATCTACAATATTTGAGATTAAATAAACTATAATGGTAACATTACTATTGTGAGCTCTGCAGGGAAGCTATGAGTGCAGGTTTACCAAGTTAATGTAGCTAAAAAAAATTGAACTCAATGTATTTTACAAATAAATAATAATTACTGTGCAATTTGATTGCATAATGTATAATACACTGTTGCATTCAAAAATTTAGCTACTAAAATCTTAGGATGTCATACAGTTTTCTTTAAAATAATTACTTAATACACACAATTATACAAATAGCTACCTTTTTCAATCCAATCAGCTTAGTGGGGAATAAGGCCTTTTAATTTTCTTAGTTCATTTCTTCTACATTACATCAACCATGTATAATAATATCTATATTCTCCATATAATAGTACTTGTATACTTTTATTCATGCGCAAGACCTGTCAAATCATGTACTTCACAACCCCTTTCTCCTTCAATTAATCATTCACTTCTATATATATATATATATATATATATTTATCCACACATTTCAACAAAGAAAAAGGGGGATATATATATATATATATACACAGTGAAGAACCCAGTAAAAAATCATTCTAAGTTGAGAGGGATCTTGAGGTAAGTTCTGAGAACACTCTTCAAATTCCAATCAAAATCTAAATGCCACGTCATTTGTAAATTGACACGTGTCAGTCACTGCCACATCAGCAGCACCATGTCAGCCTCAAACTCTCACCCTTCTGGGATTCCTCACCTAAGATAATCCATATTTCTATATATAAGTGTGTATAATTGTGTGTGTATATATATATATATATATATATAAGTAAGTGTTTATCAGGTTCATGTTTAGGGTTTCCTCACCAAGTCTGACCCCAATATTGTCAACCATGGCATCTTTGACCAATTTCCTTGCCTTCCTTGCACCAGAAGCTATTTTGTGACTGTCCATATGTAAAATTCAAATAAGTCATTGTAAAGAAAAAGAAAGGGGGATGAAATACAAGAAATAGATGTATGCATGGAAAGAGAGCAAGTACCCCTCCGCAATAAAACATTCAAGCATCAAAGAATGGATCAAAATAGGGGATGGTTGCATTGTAAGAAGAGAAGGGGGAACGTTGGGATCTTTGTTGAACTTGTAATGCTTTGGGTATCTCAACCATGCCACTTCAAAAAGTAATCCAAACCCAACATGGTGTTGAATTTCAATTTCTTACAAAATAAAGAAATAAAATAAAATAAATGGTGGTGCCATTGGCCCCATTTATGATTTTCATGGTTTCTTTGATATAAAAATGTTCCATGGTGTTCTTCTATTGAAAATAAATTGTAAACAAGAGAAAAGTTTGTAGAAAAACCTCCATAAAGGTACAGTTATGGTTGAAATGCCCAACCATGTGGTAGAAATTGAGCCATAATTGTTTGATCTTTGCAATAGAGACACAAGTTTTAGTCTAGATAAAAAGCATGGAGCATTGATTATAGGCTTCCATGAGAACATTCCATATGAGAATTGAAGCAAATTACACAAAAAAAGATTGTCTAGGAAGGTCCTTGTGATAAGGTTGTTATTTTAAAGATGGAGGAAAAAATAAAAAAAAATAAAAAAATAAACATAAACATAAGCATAAAACTTTAAAAGCATAGTGCATGATTTTGTTCAAGGAGTTAGAAAACAAGTTTTCAATTTCTTTGTCATGACTTTGAAGGTAGTGGCAAAATCATGTGCTTTATTTGTTTGGTTGGAGTGTTTGTGGAACATGCTTTGACAAAAAAAACGAAAAACTGATTTAAAAAAAAAATTATGATTTCATGTTCATAGTTTCAAAATACTTAATGCAAATGAAAATCAAAGAATGTGCCTTCAGAATTATTTTATTCTTTTTTGAAAGACAGTGTTACAAAACATCACATTCAACAACAGAATCAAATTACTTCTGAAAAAAGTTGACGAAAAACACTCACAATGAAAGGGCTCTCTGACAAAATTTGCTGCTCAATCTCCATCTTAAAAAAATAAAATAAAAAAAAATAAAAAAAAAACTTTAATTTAAATTTTTATTTAATTTTAAAAAATGCAAATGATTCTAAAAATGATATAAAAAGTTTTTTTTATTATTATTTTTTTATTTTAAATCTTGTGTAATCTGATAACACATCTCTTGGTAGATAAAACCACATCCCTTCAATCCAACAACGGCATTCATCTATATGTAAACCCGGGTTTTGTAATCACATGTTGCTTTTTACTTATTAATCGAAGCAAATACATCAATTTTTCAATTCATAGACAGTCACACTCACCGTGAACCAGTCTTCAAATGAATTACACCTACTCTGAAATTCACCAAACCACTCACATCGTTAATAAAAAATAACAGTTTAAGTAAAATCATTACATCGTCTACGCACACACATTCTTCGTGTCTTACACATAGACGACAACAACAACAACAACAACAAGCACTCACACTCATTCACACACACACTAATTCACAACTTAGATCCCTTAAGTTTAGATTACAAGCGCAACTTAGAACCCACAAGTCTAGGATATGAGCACAACTTAGAACCCATAAGCCCGATTACGTGCAAGGCTTCGGAGGAATTCACTGCAGATTTTTATGTGTTTTCATCACCGCGGCGGTGTTTTGCGGAGGTTGACTGGATCAATCCCACCCTCGCATCATGGGCGTAATGTCAGAACCAGCGCAGAATGAGCCACGAGCGATGGTGCATAATTAGCCTTCCTGCTTCCTGGTGCAGAACCATGACCTTCATCTGCGGCGCCTGTTGGGGGATGCGGTGGTGAAGGCTCAGGTCAAAGCGACACCGGAGCTACAAGATTCCTCGGCCGAGTTCTCATGTCACACCGCTCATTTCGGCTTTTACTTACGCATCGGTGTTTTATCAACAGATTCACTGCTATCGACAAAGCGATTCAAATACGTTGAGCTTCCTGTGTCATGGTGCGACCGATGAAGTGTAACGAAATGCGTTATTGGGTAGAAGACAAGCTCACGGTTTGGGTGTGAACTTCAATTCCTCAAGAGTCAGCTCACCAAATTCCCTGCTTTGTTGTTCTTTTTTGATATATGCACTTATTCCCCCATTTTTCGTTCAGTATATGTTTGTTTTTATTTCTATATGGTAAATGGTTTTGTGAATATCGGAACTATCCCCTTCGACGTTGTTTCGTATCCCACGCGTCCACCAGGTGGCGTCTCAGTCCCGCCACCTTTTCCCAACTTGCCTTCGGATCCTCAGCAGCAGCCAATTCATATAATGCACCTAAGCTGACCGCCTCATTCCTCGCAGATCAAGTCAGATAACTAGCTCTTTTGTCGATTGCTATGATTCCCTTTTGCGTTTCATGTTGAGACTCGCGGTGTGTGTGTGTGTTGGGGTTGGTGGGGGTAAAGCCAGCTTCGAGGACCGGATATTTCGGGAGTGTTGCAGCGAGACAGGCTTCGCTTCGGAGCTGCTTTTGGAGCGTAGCATCGACTGTTGTAGTTCTCACAGTGGGGTTGGGTTGTGTTTTCGTTGTGGAACGTACACTAGTGGTTGCACAACTTCGTGACGCTGCGCGTTGTTTGTTGTTGGACTGTAAGGGTCGCGAAAGATGGGAAGCCGGATGAGAGAGGTATATGCCTCTACCCTTAACTTTTCCTCAATCTGGCAGAGGCTCCGCACTCGCCGTGTGTGCTGATTTCTACATCCTTTGCAACTGATTTGTCCTCCGCTAACTTCTCCCCTTTCATGGCTTTTAGTAGTATCGTTTGTTTTTTTTAGTGTCTCTTACGACTTCGGCATTACCGTCATTCCTCTCAGATCCCGCACTCTTGAAAGAAGTAGAAGTCGGTACTGTACTCGAACCGCTTCCCGTCGAGTCGCAGTAAGAGAGGTTTTGCAAACAAGTCGTTGCGTGTACGTGAATATTCTATTTCTTCGTTGTTACCACTGCCACAATAGTTAAATTATGCATCGAAGTTGGGTAAGGTTTGCGCAGTCTCACTACATGTTGATCTGTAACCTGATCTTTCCATTCAATGCTCTTCCCTTCTACCGTTTACAGATCCTAGACGTGAGTGATATCTGACGGACCACATTCTCGTTTTGTGTACGAAGGCATCTATCCTAACAAAGCTGTTAGTTCTCGGAGACTTTTACAGAATTGAGTCATCTTAACATTGCGTAAGGAAGAGCAGTGGTTGCTCTCTCCGGTGAATTTGGTATCCGTAGCTGTTCCTTTCTGCTAATCTGTAGCTGCACATGTTCATGTCCAGGTGTTCTATGGCGAACCTATATATCACTCGAGCTACCACCAGCAGAGTGCACCGAGCCGGGGCTACTCTCGGAGCTACTCAGTGTACCCAGGCCGATCCCGTGGCAACGAAGTGCCGGTGCTGGAGCTGAGGGTCCCCATGTGCTGTGAGAAATGCAAAGAGAAAGTGAAGGAGGCTCTGGAAGAGCTCGACGGCGTGCAGGACGTTGTTTGCGACCAGTACAACCAACTGGTAACCGTCACCGGTTATGTAGATGACATTCGGGCGCTGAGGAAGGTGAGGAAGGTGAAGAAGAAATCCGAGTTTTTCAAGAGAGGCAGCTACATTGAGAGCTCGGGATACGGGGGTGATCGTTCTGGCCACTACAACGTCGAAGGTGACACTCATTATACCAACAGTCGTATGGTGCACAACCATTCTTACGGAGGAGGCTTGACCCGGTCCAACTCCTTCGGCAGAGGATTGGGCAGGTTGCCCTCTTTCGGCAGAGTACAGCCCTACGTCGATTACAACGATCGATGCAACGACTACGAGCCAAGGAATGTTCGGCGAGAATTCCCAGGTGTGCGCCGCATGCCTTCATTCAACCGCCACCGTCACCACGACGCCGAGTACATCTCCATGGACAACCAGTACACTCCATTCTATGGCGAGACGCACTATGTGAGCAGCCGCAGTGAACGACCAGTGTACCGCTCCCAGCGGTCCTTCTCCCAAGTTCCGGTGACTAATCCTTACTACATCCAGCACATTGATTCAGAGTATTATTGAGTAAGTTAAGATCGTTGTAGACAGGTAGGGAGGAGGTTGCTTGGGATCACATCGACGGTAACAGAAACGGTTGCCATTGTAGCTGGCAGATTTTACAGTGAAGCTCATGAAGCATCGAGCACACACAGTTTTGGCTTTTGGCACAGTATTCATAATATGCAGGTTCGCGAGAAATTTATCGAGGGCTTGCACTTGTTTATAAAAATTCGGCATTTTCTTATCAGGAAATAACGATTAGATTACTATCACTTATGTCTTCGTCAATGCCAGATATGTCTTGATTCCCGCAGGCTCTATTGGCATGATTGAATTAGTTGTTTACCAATTGCAGGGTAAGTTGTCGTTAATAATGTTGGTCTTTGTATAACATCGGTCATCTGGGAGGAACAATCGATAGGTTCTCTCCAAATCTACTGTTATGCAACTTCAGTCTATCCGCTGGGGGATTCATGAACACGGCACCCTTTTTCGACACTGAGCTTCCAGACTAAACCTCCATGGATATGCACAGATTCAAGGGTGTAGGATTGAACAGTGTTGGTCAAAGGAAACATACTTCTAGCAACCCTTGCTAGTTTCGAGACCCACCGAACTTGGCAGTTTCTTCGAAACTGGCATCCTCAGTCTGGCCTTTCCTACGCATATTTTGCAAGACGTCAGGGACTTTCATTTGCCGAAACAGGCACCAACTACTATTGTGCCACTCGTGGTGAATGTGAAAGAGGTGGATTACATGTGTTGGTGATAAGGTTCAGCATTTTACATGTTCTGGCCCCTAGTTCCAAACGTAGTAGTTCAGTGTGGCACTGCTCATGCAACGCGATATTCCAATGAAAAATCTCTGCTCCCAACTCCACGTCATCTTGCATGTCTGTCTTGTAAAGTAAGCTATTACTTCGCTGCTAATTACCTATTTAGAAAACGAATCATGCGGAGACCGATCGCCACACATACAGTCCAAGACAAAGTCTTATCACCAGTTGCCTATGCCACCAAGTCAAGCTTCTCCAGCAAAACACACAGAAGTATGAAGTCTGGGTATGAAAACAAGTAAAGATACCTGTTTACGTAAAAAAAATATGTAAGTAAATATTACGCCTCAGTCGAATGCCTGCAATGAGCTGCTTAGGAAGATACGTCGTAACCACCAAAAAAGTTGTGTGATATTTTCACTCAAGGAAAATTTGTAGACTAAAAACACAAGATTCACGATAGAATTTTGAAATTACAGTATTTCAAGATTCTATCAGTGAATAATGCAAAAAGAAAATTAATTGAAGTGTTGCTTCATCTAATTAAAATTTGATTCAATTGATTGTTTTAACCATTTTCAAAACGCCTTAGCTTTGGGCAAAATATATATTGGTTCACGCTCCGAAAGCGAAAATCATAATTTTGCTGAAATTCAGCTTTGGAACTTGCAACTACATTTGACGAAGACGTAAGGCAATGTTCCGTACTTTGACAGTGTAAAGGTAAACAATGGAACAAGGACCACATAATTCTTGAAGTAGGGAAACCTTTAACACGTGCAGGTTGAAGCAGGTTTTTACACACCATCATTGTCCTTCTTCATAGCAACAAAGCTGCACAAATAGAATTCAAAATTCTTCGTTCTGTCCTTGGTTGCGTTACGTTAAAAGAAATGGTGCCAAGTGCATTCCTGATTAGGTTTGGAAGTGCACTACTACTACTATTACTAAGCTCAAGAGAATCATCATAGGATCACTCATTCTGTGCAGGATTGATTTGAGAATGTTTGAGACTGTACCCAAGTTTGTGTCCATTAACTCCTGACAATGTCGGAGAAGCAGAACCCAGAACTGTCAAACTCTTCACTTCCGAATGAACACCTGAATGCTATGGAAAATAAGGGGAGAGGAAAGATCGCGAAGGAGAAAACAAAATCTTTCAGAGAATCCACGCGTGGCAACTTCTGCCGAACCAACAGAGTAGAAAGCTTGACATCTGACCAATTTGCGAAGAAAATATATTTTTAAGGTCTATGCATTTCGCCTGGTTTTAGCTTCACGGTTGTGCTTCGCAGCGGAGCTTACTGATGCTACACACAGGCCCTATTCGTTGGAATCATCTGTTTATGGTGAGGTGTCGTGTGCTTGGGCTTTCTAGAGTAAGAACACATATTCGTCAGTTTTTTTCACTTGTGCATTCACTCCCTCCAGTGGCAATTGTGAGCATTTCGGCACTGGTAACAGAGAAACTGTGGTTGCCTTTCCTGCTGCGAAGTCCTCAGGACTCAATATCGTTATTTTTTTGAAGATATCTCATGGAAGGATTAGTCTGCCCACTTTCTTGGTCTTCCACTGTTTCAAACAGAAGAAATCTCACCCTGCCAGGACTTATTGGCAAGGGTGCTTGAACACGTTACATCTGCTGAGTTGCTTACAAGTGTAAATCGCTTACAATCGACAGGTAACATCACGAAGGCACTACTTATCACACATGAAAGCCGATGTCATGGGCATTATATATCTTCTACCCTATGTCGCAATCCACACATGTAACGACTAATTGACGTGCTTCACTGCTGTAAAAACCAGTGTAGTGTTCCTTGTCCTAAACAATAAGTCCATGTTAACTTAGCCTAAACAATAATTCCTCAAAGATGTGATGCTGATGTTTCATTGAATCGATCTGGCATGTACCAACAAGACTGCACATCACGATCAATCAGTTTCGACGGCCTGACTGACAGTACCATAGACCTACAAGGGAGATATTCAACACAAAAGTGCATGATCCGTCATGTAGTCCTAGACTGGGTATAGAAAAATCTCATTCGAGCCCTTGTAGAAATCGCATTTCCATCCGTTTCCTCTACCTTTCATGTTCAGGTGCTTATGAACATAGGCAGCTATGAAATACACAAAGCTTTGTACGGATCAAATCCAGAACTAAAGCGCAATGGTACAAATTCTGCTACGTTATGGAATACGTAATCCACAGTCGAAACTTCCTGGTAAGAGTAGAACTAAAGTTGGCACAAAAATCAGAATTCGGTTAGAGAAGTCTAATTCACAGAAAATTGCAATTTTGAAATTCAATAAGGTGGTGTAGCATCCACCTCCGCAATCAATATCTGAGAATAGTAAGAGAATGGTAAAGCCTACTGATTGTGAAACTACAGAGACAGCAGATACTCAACAGACTTCAGAGACTATTTGGTTATTGTGTGAGGCTTGAGAAAGGAATTCTGTTTTATGTATTTATTTGTTGTGGTGAGCTTTATAAGCAACGTCTATCGTGATAAGCTCAACTAAAAATCCATCTCTCGAACAGAGTCACTCAAAGAACAGGAACTGTCTATACTGATGCGTTGTACGTTCCATCGAAGGGTTCAGCATTTGTGAACCAGGATAATAACGGCGTGACTAGAAACACAGAATACTCATTCAGCCTCTAAATTCTCACTTTTATCTGGCCCAGTCTCGAGGTGCCATATAATTTGTCCGCACTGCTACAAAGGCAGGAGGACGTTAAAATACAATAACCGGGAAATAAAATAGAAGAAAATGGAGACTAAAATGAAATGAGACCAGATGACTGTGATGTGGCAAATAATTGAGGTAGAACGATAAGTTCTTAAGGACTGTTGGAAACCTCAGCTGGGGTTTTAGTGATAAGGGAGAGAGCATGCAAACCGTTTTGCAGCTCCTCCTGCAGCAATCCGTAAATAAGACGATGTCGCTTCACGAGGCTCAATCCTTGAAACTCTCCCGAAATCACCTTCACATTAAAATGCGTCTCGGAGGAACCTCTCGGCGCGCCAGCATGGCCAGCATGTTGGTGAGACACATCCTCCACCTCCAATTGCAAGGGCTTCAACCTCTCCGAAAGTTTTCTTACGATAGAGTCTCGCACTGTTGTCACTTTTCCGTCCATGGGTTTTCCTTCACTGCTGGATGGTGGAGAATCTACCTGGCTTGGCTCGGCATCTGCTACGGAAGACGACGCAGCGCTGTCAGATTTCGGAACAGAAGATTCCATGTACAATTGCATCGTTTTCTTCTGCATCAGTTTCAGCATGTTGAGGAAGCCGTTGCTTCGGGATGGAGTGAGGCTCTGCTGTAACCCCAGCTTCTCCACAAAATCTGGAGAAACCTTCAAAACCTCCGCAGGGGTCGCGCCCGAAAGCCCCTCAACTAGCAGAGCTGCCAGGCCCTTCGTAAGAGCAGAATCCGACTCAGCCTCGAAGTAAACACACCCATTCTCGCCGAACTTGCATACCACCCACACTTGCGACACACAGCCATTAACTTTATTCTCTGGAGTGCAGAACTCTTTCGCAAGGGGCTTCAGTTTCTGGCCATAATACAGCAGTTGCTGGTAGCGCGCTCGTTGCTCTCCCACCGCCTGAAACAAGCGCACGATCTCACGCAGCTTGGCCGGAAGTTCCTCCTCCGCATTATCTGTTGTCTGCACTTGGGCTGACGACGCCAAGCTCCAGACTCTCCTCGAGCTCAAACTTTGAATTCCTGGTGCAATCCTTTTCTGGATAGGGAAACCTTGATTAGGCCCATCACACGAGAGCCGGCAAATGTGTGTCCGGCGAAGCGGGAGCCCAGGAACTGTGAGGCACGATTGGTGACGAAATTCTGCCGCCACAGGGGGAGATCTTGCAAGGGAAGTAGATGCACAAGAGCAACACGTGACAACCGTGGCCATTGCCAAATTTTAGCGAATCTGTGAGGCTCTAATCCGTAAGCAGCAATCTCCTCACAAAACCCGCCTCCAATAATCACCTAAAATCTGGAAAGAATTTGCAATTTCAAATATCTCAGCCCATTTCAATACACAAGTCATTCTCCACCAAAATATATGCAATCCCGTCACCTCCAACAATTTTCCAGAGCACCACGTAACAAGACCTTGCCTCAATGCACACAACACCTAAAGCCCCACCTTCCCTCTTCTCAATCCAAATCAAACGCAGAAGTCTTTGGTTCTAAACAACAACCCAAACAACAACAAAAAGACCTAATCCATACCAATCTTACCAGCTGCAACCTCCAATCAATATCAATACCAATACACAATACACAATGCCGAAGGCTGGCAATGATGTGGGGTTCCAAATCAAGCATCCCAATTGGAGGAATCGAACCAGTCCACAGAAAAAAAACGATATTCAATCTCGACAAGAGAACTTCCACTTACCAACTATGTCCCGCAGGATGGCAAGGCACCCAACAATGCCGAGGCTCCTAACAGTGAGAGATGTGAGGCGGGGAATATGTTCCATTGGAATGAGAGATTGCACCGGATGATGACGTAAAAGTGATTGGATGCATGAGCTTTTTCGAGGCAGCCAACATCGAAGCATGACGCCGCTGACGGCTTCCTGATTAAGGGGTGGCTCCCGGCAACGGTGTGGCCACAAACAATTCGCACTTCCACTCCTGTCAGTGCTGTGCTGCATTCCTTCAACCATGTGCGCCATGCTCATGCTTGCGGAAACTGCAGGGAGGTCTACCGTTTCGTTGTAAGTGACCAATCTGTAGATTTACTAAACATTGTTTTAATTAACTTTTTTGATTTGGTCGGCCGGTCAACGAGAAAAGAGGCCAAGAAGGATTTTCGAATTAAAAACCATTTCACCCATCGGTGAGGTTCGTTTTACATTGAAAATCAAGGTAGAGCAAATTTGAATTCTAACTGAGGATCGAGGCCAAGAGAATGGAGCTTAGCAAATCCACGAGGATGACCCCAAGTTTCAGAGTTGGCGTAGGAGAAACATAACCGGTGTATTTCGTTAGCCTTGAGGTTAATTAGAATTTTTGCTTTACGTACATGTGAATGTGTAAACAATCCACAGGTGCGAGGTTCTAAAAGTTTTGTCTCAACTCTTCGTGTGAAGCCTACAGATGAGAAACGAGTTTTGAACTCCTGCAGCAAAACAGCCTTCATTCGAACCATGCATATTATTGAATATCACAAGCATTGGTTTAGGTGTCAAGTTAATTGGCCACTCCTTGAGATGCAATCATCAAACTCATTCACCATCGTGACATTCATCTGTAACACATGCAACACAAAACGAAGTCAGAAAACGCAAGGTACTTGTATATCTTCAAAGCGACCAGTCAAGTAAAACCCAACTGAGTGCGGTGCGTATTTTTTTTAATAGAAGAGAAAACACGAGAGGAGGTCCAGGGATAGCAAGAAATTAAGAGATAACCTAATGGATTTATCCAGTCCAAAGAACAAAGCAACAATGATCCTGCAAATACCAAAGACAGTGCACCTTCAAAGTAAACCCTCACAAGTACATCCACACCATCAATTGCAGGAACGTAATGCACGAAAGTCATGAGACAGCTAACCAATGCAAAGCAAATTTACTGTTACAGACGTGGTAGAAGCTAACAGCTTCAAGTAAAGGATCTGTTGCACATTTCGAGCTGCTTCAGCCGTCTGTATGAATGAAGCACGAAGACTTTGAAGCTTGGCCCATCGTTCCAACCCCCAAAACTTCTTAAATTGATAAGACTCTTAATCCACGGTTTGCAAAGTCTTCCTTCTTAAATTGGGCTAAGCCCAATCGACTCCCCCAGATGCCTATGACTCCTACGGGAAACACATGCAAATGCAGCTTTCATGAAGCTTGTTAAAGCAGCCGTCGTAAGACAGCCCATCAACTGCTGCATGCAAGTTCACAACATCAAGACAAACATTCGAATAGTATGAACGTAATCACATAGGCCAGTCAATGGCTGTTGTCTTCCCTGATTACATCAGACAATGATGCAAATATTCGCCGGGTAGAATAGCTTCCAGATGATGACACAGAATAAGAGACACGATGCAAGAGACACGATGCATTGACGAGTTTACACCAGACGCAACATCACAAAAGAAAGCCGCGGAATCTGTGGACGTCAGCGCCACTGCAACAGGCTTCACAACTACAGCCAAAACATTTACAACTAAGAGAGTCAGCATGACGCCTTAATTCCTCGAGAAAGGTTATAGCTTCAGCAAGCATGATGTATACAAGCTGTTGTTGTATACTTGTTCATGTGCAAGAAATCATTGTGACAAGACCAAAATCATAGTTTCGGAAGGTGATGGTATCACAATCGTCGTCACTCTCGTCATCGTCTCGCTCATCGAAAACTGTCCTAACCATGCTTCACGAAATGCACATCAGAAGCTCTTAAACCCTACAAGGCCAGGAGAAGTGAGAGCCCCTTAAACCCTAGCCATGGTCTACTGATGTTTTGTAAATTGTTAGCTTTTGCTTGTAAACTAGTGTATGAATATAAAATATGAAAATCAGAGTTAGAACTCATGATAATGGGATTTGGGTTATTGTTTGATTCTTTTGAAGAGTGCTGTTTCTTGCTTAGAATTTAAAAGACACCAGCACAATACGTATTAAGAGTATATAACTTTACTACAATTATAGGTACTTTTGTTTTGCATCACTGTCAAGTTAGATGAGGTTTGTTCTAATCAAAGTTGTATACTTGTAGTACCCATACTAATTTATTTTTTCTTAGTATTTAAAATATTTCAATTATGTATATGTGTGAAAAGTTTAATATATGTGTATATGTGTATATGTATATGTGTATAAAAGTTTAATAGTTTATAATTTTATTAAAAACATAGATAATGATATTATCACATAATATTTTATAAATATATTTCTTTAATTTAATCTTTTTAATCTTTTAAAAGTGTAATATATATATATATATATATATATATATATTCAAGTTTTTACTAAATGGGTCTACCCATCTTAACCATTATGGGAAAAAACAATGATCACTAGATTCACTATTGAATCTACAACCAATAAAAATCAACCATATTCATCATGATTATCATATTCCTCATCAAAGATGGGTCAATTTAGTAAAAACATGGATCTATTTAACATTCTCTCTTATATATATATATATATATATAGTGAATGCTACCATGATTTGATACTTGTTACAAATTATTACTTAGACATGTAAAACATGTATAACTTAAGTATTCACTCAGTATTCTAGGTTTTTTAGAAACCATTATTTAAACTATAAGAAAAAAAGAAAAAAAAGAAAAACAACAACAACAACAACAACAACATAATTAACAAACTTATATCTAATATTTTTAAATGACATATTTAGAGTATGTCATATTGTATTAAAAAAATTATTGACTTTTCTTAGACATCTAATAGGATAGAGTGGCAAGCATATAAAGTGTCTACTTCAACAAGCAAGGAATTAGAGAAGTGTCCAAGCTTGTCAACTAGCTTTAATACAAGAAGGCCAAAATCAATGTGTTATCAAAAAATTTATGCAAGCAATTGAATATCAAATTTAAAGTGTTATAAAACATATATCCTTTAATCAATGAGTATAGCTCTTTCTTGTAATTTTTTCTATAGATTTTAAAATTCATAATACAAATAATAAAATAAATAAATTATGTAATAAAAAAATTCTATATATTTATACCTTATTTTAATTTGATTTTCAAAAGTCATCAAATCTTAAGTATATTTTAAAAAATGATTTAATGTAACTTATAAAACTAGTTTTTTTAATATATATTTTATATTTTGACTTGGTATTCTTAAATAAGATTATCTTATCATTTATTATCTTTCAATAGTATATATATATATATATATATATACATACATTTTCTGACATTTTGTCAAATCCCTCTACCAATTTTTATACAAATTTTCCACTCTTTCACCATACTTTACTTATCTCTTTTTCTCATGATACTTGAGACTCGAAAACCCATCCAAAAAATCACATCGAAATTCCCGAAGTAGTATTACCACAACACAATATCAAGATCTCCAAACTATCAATTAAACTTCATACATATTCATACATATTCATACATATTCGAGATTAAGGAACGAATGCCTTCGTTTTTGCTTAAGCACCCTTCGACGAATGACAAACAGACGAATGCGCTCATCCAAAAATAGTCCACTTCATCTCTTAACATCCGTTTGCGGAGACCCATGGCTTCGTTGCAGCAGGCCTTTAGGGTTTTGGGGAAACTCTTCGCAAATTCCTGGGTCCAGTCCCCGCCATTGCTCCGCAGATTCACCACACTGTGAACCCTGTGAGAGAGTTGTAGTTGTCGTTTAGTACTTTGCTGGAATGCGCGGTGGATTTGTTTGGCAGGGCATGCGGAGACGCAGCTGCACTCAAACGTGGAGGATGATGCGGTGGTGCGATCCGGGATGCTCGACCAACTGAACTACTGCAAGGTGGGTTTCGGATTCGGGATGTTTTTCTGTGAATGGATCGTGGATTAGGGTTTTTGACATTCAGCCTTGACGAGAAGTGTCGAATCAGAAATTCAGAAGCTACGATCAATCAAGGATGTTATTAGGGCATTGGATATGAAGATTAGCTTTTCGGATTGTCCGTGAGCGACAGTGGAGAGAGTGCCGTGTATTGGGAGTGTTGGAAGCTCTTTTGGTTGCGAATTGGTTACTTTTTTGTTTTTTTTAAAATTTTGTTGTTGAAGGGGTTTTAAGTTGAACGATTGTATAATTTGAAGGATTTTGCCTGTTACTGAGTATGGAGTGCATTCGTAGAGAAGTGTATGAAGGCTTTGTTCGTGAGAGCCGTGACTCGCGGTGGGCGCCATGGCGAGGCGGGACGCGGCGCTAAAAATCTTGAAGTCTCAGCCGTTTTCGATACTCTCCAAAGGGGTCACTTCTAGGGAGCCTGGTGTAATCTGGGGAAAGGGATTGCAGCTGGGCGCGACTCAACTTTCATCAGGAGGATGCCATCCTGGGACAAGCGCTCAAGTGGGTAGAGATTTGGGCAGCAGAGACACCGGCAGTCTTGAATTGCCCAGTAATGCATTGTCGATTAATGAAGGGGTCACTATCTCTGATGACCTTTCGAAGGTTAGAGCTTGTAGCATTTCGGCGTTGAGTGGTAATGGAATGTCTGTCAAGAGCAGAACTTCGTGCTTAGGTGCAAGATTAGCAAGCAATGTTGTATTTTTGGACAGTGAAAGAGATTCAGATGATCAAGGTGCTGCACTTCTACAAGCTATGCCATCATCATCCCTTCATGCCCCTCCAGTTCAATCTGCGCAACGAATACGGCAACCCCAACAGTCGCCGAGGTTCTCCACCCCGAAGTTATTGATAGGAAAGGTTTGCCAAGTGCTCCGGGATACGGAATGGGGTCAGGGAACGGAGGAGGCTTTACAAGAGCTGGGCGTTTATTTTACTCCGAGCTTAGTGAACGAAGTTTTACGCTGCCAGCAAGATGTGGACAAAGCGATGGGGTTTTTTGAGTATGTGAGGAAACAGCCCTATTACAGTCACAACTCCCGCACTCACGCTAAAATGTTGACTCTTCTAGGCGCTGCGAGGAGATACGACGATGTTCAGCGGCTTGTTGAATCAATGCAAAAGGATCGCACTAAACTGGACACGCAGCTATTCAATACTCTCATCCACATCTATGGTGAGGCCAATATGATGGAGAAGGCACTGCAGACACTTGCTGCGTTTACAAAAGAAGGGGGCCGGCCGACGGCTTATACTTACAGTTCTATGATTCAAGTTTTCATGAAAGGGGGCGATGTTCAAAACGGCTTGTTGATGTATAAACAGATGTTGAAAGCGAAGTTTGTGCCGGATCACACCACCTTCAACATTCTCATTGACAGCTTGGCAAAGGCTGATCAGGTCAGTGATTGTTGTTGAGTTCCATATCGGTTTTTTCTGCGCTGCGTCTCTAGTTAATTAATCACTCCATTGTTCCTTGCAATGTATGCTATGATTGTGCACCCAGAAGTGTCGTCGGAAGTTATTAGTACGCTGTTTCCAACCCTACACGTCATCTTTGGTTTCATCTTAAGTTTATGTTTGTACTCGTATAGAATCATAACCCACTGGTTCTGTCTGTGTTGCGGCAGGTTGAGGAAGCTTGCAATGTCTTTGGTGACATGTTCAAACTCAATGTCTCGCCCGATGTTTACACTTACACCATCCTTATTCGCAGTCTGGGTACCATAGGAAGGATTGATGCTGTCATGAAGTTGTTTGAAAGCATGACTGCGCAGGGATGTCAACCCAACTTGTTCACGTACCACAGTGTAATGCATGCTTTTGGAAGCGCTGGAAGAGTGGATGAAGCTTGCGACATTTTCCAACAAATGGTGCAAAAGGGGCTTCAGCCTGACGCAGTGACGTACAACATTCTGATAGATGCCTTTGGCAAAACTGGGCAGCTGGAGAGGGCATTTGATTTTGTGGGAAAATCTCGTAGCTTTACAAATGAGGTTACATATAACAGCCTTCTGAGCAGCTTAGGCCGGAAGGGTGATATCCAGGGGCTGATGGAACTTTTCGGGCAAATGAAAGCCAAGGGGTTGGTATCTAATGAGCTCACGTATGCCATTTTAATTGAGCGTCTTGGATGGGCCGGCCGCGTAGAGGATGTCTGGCAGTTGTACTTGGAAATGGTGGACAATGATATTAAGTATGATATCGTGACCATAAACAATGTTCTCGATTGTCTGAGCAAAGCAGGGAGGGTAGAAGCTGCATTTGAGCTATTCCAGGATATGAAATTTAAGGGCTTAAACGCAGACACCGTCACTTACAATATTTTGATTAATGGTTTGGGTCGTGCTGGGAAGCTGGATGCGGCTGGCGCTCTGCTGTTGGAGATGGAAGAAAACGGATGTGCTCCCAATATTATTACCTACAACACTTTGATTAGCAGTTACGGGAAATGGAGCAATTTATCCGCGGCAACAAGGCTATTTCTCGAAATGAAAGAGAGAGGTGTTGCTCCAAATGTTGTCTCTTATTCCTCCCTAATCGAAGGGTTCGGAAAAGCAGGGAGAACAGATGCTGCCATATCCTTGTTTAGAGAAATGAAAGCAGAAGGTTGCCCTCCAAATCACGTTACCTACAACCTACTGATTGACTGCCTCATTCGGGCTGGCCGATTTGGCGCTGCTATGGAATATCTTCGTGAGATGAGAGACGCGGGCTGTCAAATGGGGAAAGTCACAAAAAGTTTGCTTGTGAGAATCCCTCCCCAGTATATGGAAGAAGCGCAGAGTTTCTTTCAAGAGTGATTGACTCAGAATTTACCTACTCATTTGTTTATCACTTCATAATTTTTAGGAAATTAATTATACCCAGTGTTTGCACCCCGAGCTAACACTTAATTTTTCCTCTCTATGGAATCTGGGTTTCTCAGGATGCTGTTTTGCATCTGAAAGTCTTGTGGGATGTATCGCTCTCTTCCAACATCACTGGTCTAGATTGCCTACTTTCAGACTGGTTATTAATATTAATTTTCAGACCTAGAAGGTAAAAAGTCAGAAGATATCATGCTCCCTGCCAATGTCTTAGTTCTTGAACTGGTTTGGTAGAGAAGTTGGGCTCTGCTACTGCTATCTGCTGCTGTTTGTGAGAGACCAATTCAGACCTGGTATACTTTATCTCTCCGTATGTATTCAGTCTCCAGGCGATTGTATCAGCGATGTCGTCAAATGGAAGGATCAGCTGCTGGTGTATACTTAAGTTGCACAACCACAACGCTGTAAAAACAGTGATTCTGAAGACGTACACTGTATTGGGATGATGCGTGCAGAGCGTTGTTGGAAGATTGTGCAGAGCTAGTTTCTGTAACTAGGCAGGTACAGGTTCCGTATGGGCATGGCCGGTATACATAAGGGTGTCAGAAGTCTGGGGCACGTCATTCACTGAAATACATATGTATATATCTGTAAGCTTGAACGGCATTGTTTTCAACATTCCATGAATCTCTCTTCCCAATACTATGGAGATAAACAAGTTTCTATGTGAAGACAATGGCCACTTGTGGTGTCGATCAAGTGACGACTGTCACTTAACCACCAGTTGGCAGCACCCTAAATATACACAATAAAATCGGTGAGAATAAAGACAACTAATGAAATCCATCAATCCAAGCCATCGAAATAATGACCGTGCAAGTTGGTCAAATAATTCTTTATAATGCTACCGGAAAGTCTGGCAAATAAACAGACATGTTAACATATCTACAGCAATCCTGATACACTTTTGACTCAGCTTGGGAAGAGCAAATGTCGTGGATTGCTGCAACAATCTTGCGCCCCCTCTCCGAATCCGCCACTGACCTGGAACTTTCCAGCCCTTGTATGACAGTATCGCTTAGTTTTACCTCTTCGTTTCCAAGAGACGTGCCGCTGTTTGGAACCTGAGAGAGAGCGTGCATTGCCGAGTCCCGGTTCGGCACTATCTTCACGTGAGCTAGCACACGCTTTCTTAACACAGAGCTTTGATGAACTAAGTAATTGATTACAGCTTTGTCGTGGAAGGGCTGGCGATTTTTTTCTCCAAAGCTATGCGGACAATCTCGGTTGTCATCTTGTTTCGAGCTTGCGGACATAATCCATCTTCCCCATCCCAAAGCCGCTGTTCACGACGGCCTTCTCCCTGTGAGCCCTGTCAAGTAATCGCCATAGTCCGGTGCCATAAAGGCTTTGTATCAAGCCCTTGGCATACTCCTCTTTGGTCGCAACATTCGATTTCTTCTCTGACTTTGGGAGTGTCGGTGGACTGAGGATAATCATATCTGCAGGTATCGTTTTCTTGTCAACTTCCTCGGCCTCTAGTAACACTATTCCATGTGCGGAACTCATTTCCGTGTCTGTGGAAGGCTTCACCATCTCCTCGTCCTGGAAAGTATTAGGAGAGTGATTTTCGCCTCTTCTCCCAAAAGTTCCTCAGCGTCTGAATCTGACCATGAGCGGTCTTCTCCAGAGAGGTACAAGTGTTGCAGACTACGGATTGCGGCCATTGCATCGCCAACGAAAAGCACACCCTTCACTTGCGTCAGAAGCACACGGCGGTACTTCGATTTTACCATTCCCAGCAACATCTCGTAGCATACCCAGTGGCGAAGTTGTGCTGGAGGGTCATCGAAGAACCCGCTAAAAATGTTGGTAGGATCCAGTTCTTGCATCTCGAAGCCTACGATGCTGCCATAGCCGGACCAGCTCTGTGCTCATTGCCATCTGCTTGTGAGTCATTTAACCGCGTGCCCCATCTCAAATCCACACGGGCAGATCGCGCTTGCTCTTCTACTGCGCGCTTGAAAACTATCGAATTAAATGGTATGAGAGTTGAGTTTGTGATATCTGTAAACAATATCAATACCGAGTCTGTCGTTAAGTTGAGTCACCACTCCGAAAAATAAAACCTTCGTTGTGTAGTGAATACAATGATATTGCAAAAGAGTGTAGGGGTTCAGGCCCACCTGAAGCTCTTCGATTAGCAATTGTTTCAGGATCAGACAGAGCCAATATCCTCTGGAAACTTGCTTCGTCTTCTTGGAACACCTCCCACACTTGTTTAGAACCGCAATAATCTCGAGGGAAAAGAACTACACCATCCGTTCGCGCTGAGGCGCCGCTTCGGTGCAACGTCCTCAGAAACAGTCGCATGTTGGCGAGACTAGTCCCATTGGAAAGGTGTGCCACTATAAGTTCTCGCATGTGTCGGGTTCCTTTCCTAAACAAAACCCCCATGCCTTGGAGCGCACTCTCTACTGGGATGACTGACTTGGGAGGATATCAACCCTCACCACGTTGCTTTGCAATACCCTCTGAAGAATAAATAGTTATTTTTAGAATGTAGATACCTAGTGTATAGTGTAAATAGGAATAGATAACTGTTGAAAAGGTTGTAGAATAAGTAGTTATTTTTAGAATGTAGATATCTTGTGTATAGTGTAAACAGGAATAGATAACTGTTGAAAAGGTTGTTCAACAGGTAGAATGGATGAATAGTCAGAAAAAGTAGTTATCATCTGTAGTATAGGAGTTGGTATCTCGGGGTAGTATAAGGAGGATGGGAGAGGGGAAGAAAATACCAGACTGCGATAGTACTGAGCCGGGGATAAGCTTGGTGCTATCTCTTCTTCTTAGTTTTCTTGTTTCTTTTGTGTTAGTGTTGATTTTAGTGAAGAGAATTAATTTAATGAATTAATGTTTGATTTACGAAGTTGTTTATGGATCACTGTTTATCAATTGTTGTAAAAGATTGAGGACGTATGTAAGTTTCCAATCACTGTTTATCACAAGGTTGTAAGTTTAGTGGAGAGGAATTGTAATCAAAGGAATTGTCTTGATTAGATTCTGTGGATTAGAAGTTGTTCGTTCGAGGGTTTGGAATATGCTTATGTGTTTGTGAATTACACAAGGTACTGAAATCGTTGTCGTGGATGTTATTGTATTGATATGAGAGAGTGGACAGTAGGAGGAAAAGTTAAGTGTTCTTCGGTATGGTAATCATTCAGCAGTAGCGGTGTCGTATTAAGTGCTTTCCTGCTCGAGAACGCACTGGGCGTCTGGCTGTAGAAGGTAGTATGGAGATTCGCTAATATTCAAACAGTCTATCGGTTTTTTACTGTTGGAATATAAACAAGTGTAAGAATATATCGTAAATCTATACGGATGCCCTTTGACTGCTCGTCGAAGTCCTTTTTGTCCCAGCCGGTAGGTCTCTAGACGTTACAGAGAACCCCAAACAACCCAAACTGCTAATCTTCGATACCGCTTTATACTCACGATCTTGTATCCACTGACTGTCTCATTAGATTAATCCAATAAATTTCATTCACTCTGCATACTCAATCCTATAGACACCCTTTTAATTCTTCAATCACAGACGTAACTTTGATTTCACAAAACAGTCAAGAGTAATCAAACCCACTTCATTAAAAATCTTCATTCACCATTACAACACCGACTTCAACAACGATTGCCTCAGTCTTCCCAAAATCCTATGAAGAAAAAAAACCCAATTCTTTGTCTTTTCTTCCCCGACCCAAAGCATTAAGCTAGCTCCCCGATCCTTCAAAACCCCAAAAAAACTTATTCTCCCCCCCCTCTCATTTCTTAATCTTAATTTTGAATTTCTTCAATCTTCCGTCTTGGATCCGAAATTGGCTCCCGCCGTCAGAGCTTGGATCCAAAATTGGCTCTTGCCGTCAGAGCTTTCTCCTCCATTTTTACCTTTAAGAGATCTTTTTACCGAAAGGACGTTCCCGGAATGGCACAAAGGACGGAACAACCTGAAACGGAATCGGAGCCCCGTAATCAGGACCACATTGAGTCGCCCGACCAATTCAGGTTTCATATTGGGTAAGAGTCCAGTAGTAAGACTCGGATGTTCCCGTAATTGGATCAAATTGGTCCTTCGCGTCAGATTGGCTAAGGCCCGTAGTAAGACCTGGATTTTTCCGTAATTAGACTGCATTGGGTTGCCCGACCAATTCAGGTCTCATATTGGGTAAGAGGATCCAGATTGGATGTCTTGAAATTAGATCCAATTGGCTCTTCGAACCAGGCTCACCCGTCGTTGAATTGGTCCTTTCCCTTTTTTGCTGACTCCCGTTATTGGAATCGAACGGAGCATTTCAGTATGCCCCGGCTGACTGTAACGGGGTGACTGACCCTAGCCTCCCAGTATTTGCACTGGAATTGGTCGTTGCCCCCAATATTCGACATAACTAAATATTAATAAAAGTCCCCTTTCTTTATATTTTCACGGTATACTCGTGTTACAACACGACAGCGGTTGATTGCGTGACCCTAACAATTGGAGCTCATATACATGGTCATTTCCCGTGTTCGAATCCCCCTGTATGGGTTTATTCTGGGAGGTTTCTTCCGGAATAAGTAAAACGAGCAATCACATTTTGGCGCCGCTGCCGGGAATTGACAACATTATTGAGTGTTAGGAATTAACTGTCGAAGCAGTAAAGGAGATTAGGAAGCAAACTCAGTAGAAATAATGAAAGAGTATGGTTATTAAGAATGAGAATTTAACAGCAAAGAGAATAAAGCAATCAAAAGAAAGAACAAAGCGATCGCAAGCAAGAAATTTGTTGCGTAATGAGCGAGATCGCAAATTAAAAAAGAAGCATCGACAAAGTTGGATTAAGTCATGGTTGCATGCCTATCGGCATATTCGATCATATCCAGAAGACGATCGACCTCTAATATTTCAGAAGTACATACCGTTAAAGAAATTACCAAGAGCACTCGCGGAGAGCGCTGCTAATAGTCCAGCAAACCTCTCAAAGTCGTTAACGGAAAACGAAGAAGGCACAGAGGAATTAGGTACCCCACTGGATATCTTTTCAATTGGAAATACGTCCGATTCTAACAAAACTGGTTCTGAAGATCGGCATAAATCACTTGTCAATAAAAACCAATTCAGAGTATATCAAAACCTGTCGTTTTCACCTCATATTCAACTAGTAAAATTATTTGAGGATAATAACAGTCAATCAGGAAGGCCTAGAAGTCCAAAAAAGACTTTTGCAGGAGATAGTTTTTATTTTAATAAAAAATTGAGCAGAACATCGGCATCTTTAATGACGTCCGGAGGACCAGCAGTTTCGATTGTAGTTCAAATGGGTGCAGTGGGCGATCAAATGACTAGCGTCGCGCCATTATCTACTTTTTGGGGTTTGCCAGATGCGGATCCAGATCAACATTTGTTTCAATTCTTGACGACTTGTGTAGCCAGTAATGGAAGAACAGAAGACATTTGGCTGAGATGGCTGCAAGCGACATTGAAAGACACAACGTTTGAATGGTATAACCGCTAACCTGTGGGACAATTTATCAATTGGGAGGCATTGAAAAATACATTTTTAGCCCATTTTCGACCAATTGGTTTTGAAGAACATCTTAGAGAAAAATTAATGAACAGCAGAATGGTACCAGGGGAAGCGGTACAGTCATATTATGGTCGTGTAGCAGATATACTTTGAAAATGGCCAAATAACCAAATGTCGGAATCATTTGTGTTGTCCATATTGGTTAATGGACTACACCCACCAGAATTGAAAATGTTTGTAAAGGAGGCACAATCAGCCACCATTGCATCATCTCTTGAGCAAGCAAATGTATGGGAGGAATGTCACTATGACCAGAACTTAACAGTTGGAGCCACGATGATTCCATCTCAAGGAAGTTATCAAATGACAAATTAGAATAACACATCAGGAAGTTATCTGGGAAGGAATGATTATGGTACAATTCCACAGGAAATAGTGGATGCCGTTCCATTGCAAGCTATACCACCATCATCATCACACCCGTATGCGCCTTATTTCACATATCAGAAACCAATACCTACAAAGGAATTGCCAAATGCATTGGTATCAAGGGATCCCGATGAGTCATTGCTGTTAACATTGACGAAAAAAATGGATGAATTGGTTGTGAATCTGGCCAAGGATAAAGAAAAAAGGCATAAATCAATCAATATGCGTCCCAATGTCTGGTGCAGCAATTGTAAGGGGCAAGGTCATTTAGTAACAGAATGTCCTTCACCACCCCAAATGACTGTACAATGTACCTTTTGTGGGGGCAAGCATATTACCACCAACTGTTGGAATTTATGGAAGCAATAACAACTCAATAATTAGATAATGACTCAACCAACTTTGTGGGATGTCAATCAAGTACAGACGAATAATAGGTTTGGCTAGAATAAAAATCGAGCGAATAAACAAAACATGAATTATTCTAATTTCCTAAACTTTGAATTTCATGAAGAAGGTGTATCCAATACTCACGGATTGGCGATGAATCAACTAGGATACCATCAATATCCATCCATAATAAAGCCAATGCCAGACTCTACAGTAACAATGGGTCAACTAGGATCCTTTACTCATCTGACATGGAACAGACGTAGCCGTTATATACCAGTAGAGATACCCATTATCCCTGAAGGAGTTGGCAGGAGACCACTTTGTTGCTATCGTTGCAGACAAATCAGACATTATGCGAGTGAATGTCTTAATCCAAGGGCCAATGATGACTATGCTCCAATATGTGGAAATTGTAAGCAGTCTGGTCATACTTATCAGCAGTGTAATGCGCCCTTTAATTATAATAACTGGGACGAGGAAATACAAACAAGCCAACTGGCGGAGGACAAAGGCCCTGTTCAACGAGACTCACTAGTACATTGTGTCGAGGTGGTGAACAAAAAGACAAGAATCCAATTCAAGACATGGATGAATCAATCGCAGGAGAGCAAGTAGTGCCGTCCACGGGACTAAACGAACCAATATCAGTATTGAGACGTATCTCAATATTGAGACCTCAACAGACTGAGGAACCCAATTTGGTCCCATGCGCCAATTTGTCAAGACCATCAAGATCGATCTCAACTGACCAAGTACCAATACCTATACAGGCTAATAAAAGATCTTACGCATTAAAGGAACCTTTAGTGGTAGACAAGTTGGCAAAGTTACCAAAGGCAATCCCAATCGCCAGGAAGGAATTGTTGCCGAATGGAGTAAAATTGAAACCAATGAAATGTAAAAGAGCATTGGAAATTACTCTCAATATGGAATCCTACGACATTCTGAGGGATTTGGATGTTATTGAGCCTTCAATTACAATGAAGAAACTTTTAGCTGTAGCACTGGAATGTCGATCTACATTGAATTCAACATTAATACGAAGAAGTTCTCGCACTAAAGAAATTCATGAAGTTAGCTTAAATCCAGATCCGGGAGTACCAACAATCGATGTATTAA